TAGCTGCAGCATGGCTCTACCACGTAAAAAAATAGTAAGTACCTGTAATTAAGAACAAAACTAGCTCTATAGCAGTCTTTACGAAACAATATTAGTCTAGCTTTAAGATGTAGGTACATAAGCAATTAATAGTTTAATTATCACAGTCAAAATATTCTTAAATATCTTTTTTTCAAATTCTATATATTTATTGTAAGTTAAGTGTTACATTCGGCGTTAATTTAAAATATGATGTATCTAAGAACTTAACCACCCTTTTCGTGTATTATAATATTTATTGTAATACCCGAAAAGGTGCTTGTAATAGGTCTATGACTGACATAACTATATTGATCATAGTTAATTAAAATTATAAAAGAAATTAAATTACGTAACTTAGCTATTATAAAATTCTAATAAACAAATTGTTTTAGTGGTATCTAAGTACTCTTTGAAACAAAAAGCGCGCGCACAAGGAACGAATCGCGGTCTTACTCTTTTGCTGGCTCACTTGATCCGTTTAAGTACAGCAGCCCAAATTCGCGTTAGGGAGTTCCAACTCGAGTTAAGCGCAACTCGAGTTAACTCGAGTAAGTAACACGAGTTAATCCATCATTAATTGTTACTTCAGGCTCAGTAGAGTTGGAACCCAGAGCCGTAAAGCTAGTTAAAAAAAAACTTTTCCTACTAGGGATGGGCAAGGTAAAAAATATATCGAAATATTTATCGAATTGATATTTTTAAACATATCGATATATATTGCGTAATAAATATCGACATATCGTCATCATTTGCATGATGTGAGGATAACGGCAAAAGTTTAAATATTATTAACATTACTAACAATTGGACGACGAAAAACAAAAACGACAACCACGATTGCTTTTGTAGCTCCGTTTGTTGTTTCATGTTTTGCCCATTAATACAACAATTTAAAATACATCGAAATTGATACGAATTCGATACTCTAAAATAAATATCGATATATCACGATTAAAAATATCGACGATATATATTTCGTTATTTTTATAAGAAAATTTCGATGTATCTATATTTTTTGCCTAAGCCTAATTGCTACCTTCTGTACGTCAAGTAGGCCTGGGTCGTATCGCGTTTTCTGAGAATCGTATCTAAATCAGATTTCGAGTTTCACTATCTGATATCAAAACTATATATTTTAATATCTATATATTCTGCGTACACTTGTTTATATTTTCTACTCCAATACGCTGTTGAAATCTGATACGAGGATTTTATAGTTACTCTTACTTATTCGATGCGAATCATTATTGTAGATATATTATAGTAAATTTATATTATGTTATCTTATTGGAGCTAATGCAGATATAGTTGTAGATTTAACTTTATTATTTTAGGGTTTTGAACTAGTTATTTATTTACAGCACTAGATACTCAATTAAAATAGTTCAATAAAATATATAATATAAAATAGTAGGTATTAACAGTGTCTTTATTATTGATTTACATCACAAATTGCATTTAAAAGGATAAAAATTGCAACTTTCTCTTTCCACTACATTTATTATGGCAGATCTGTTAGAACTAAAAATAAATTGAAAATCCTATATAAAGTAATGTTATAAAATGCACTCGATTTCAGACTTTAAAAAACAATCAGATTTGAAATTTATCGTTATTTGGCAACATAAGTTAAAGTTTAAATTCTTACATCTATGATTAATGTTAATGAAATAACTTTGTAACATAACGATGTCATAAAAATAGCTTTTAAAGTTATGATAATTAGGTTCTAAATCATATACTATTGGGTTACGCGACTGAGAAGAAATTGCCGTACCGCTTCTTCTACTGTATTTGTCCTTGGCCGGAAGTATTTAAATAAAGATGGTTAATATATCTTTTAACTGTTAAAATAAACAGTTAAAGAAATTGCAAATTTGTTAAATAAATAAAATAAACGATTATGAATAAAATTATCATATTCCAGTCCATTCAAAATCATCCACGATCGATTTCTTACCTAGCCGTATTTATGCCATCTAACGTCTTTTTTACGTTACACCTTGAGAGTCAATCAATTTTCGTTTGATAAAATGAATTTACCCATAGAATGGAGTAGATGGTGGTTTACAAAGCAATTTTATGATTTATTACATTAAAATTCACATGTCTAAAAATAAGGATTGTAACAATTATTTGCTAAATATATATACTTAAAGTCAAACTTATATACAATACTTTATGTTGAACTTGTTTTTGACAATTATCATATTAAATAAATCGTTTGCGGTTAAATCTTTTAAAGTGTTGTTTTTATTAAAACGTGCGAAATGATATTTTTAACACATAGATGTAACGATATTGACTGAATTAATTAGTGGTTATGTTAATTTTATGTTTTTTTTTTATAGGAGAGGGGGCAAACGAGCATGCGGCTCACCTGATGGTAAGTGACTACCGCCGCCCATGAACAACCGCAACGTCAGGGGAATTGGGAGAAGCGTTGCCGGCCTTTTAAAAAGGAGTAGGCTCTTTTCTTGAAGGTCCCTAAGTCGTATCGGTCCGGAAAAATCGCTGGTGGTAAACTATTCCACAAGGAAGTTGTGCGAGGAAGAAAACATCTTCTAAATCGCTTAGTGGTGGACCGCCAATCATCCGAATGGTAAGGGTTGTATCGGGAGTTCTGCCGCGATGTGCGTTCGTGAAATTTGGCAGGTGGGATTAATCCCAACAATTCCTCAGAGCACTCCCCGTGGTAAATGCGAAAGCAAATGCAAAGAGATGCAACATTTCTTCGCAGCACCAATGAGTCGAGCCGATCGGAAAGGACTCGGTCATCGACGATTCGAGCCACTCTGCGCTGGATGCGGTCAAGTGGAAAGAGCTGGCACTGGGGAGCCCCTGCCCAGAGATGGGAACAGTATTCCATGTGAGGCCGAACTTGCGCCTTGTAAAGTTCCAGGCGGTGTGCCGGCATGAAATACTGTCCCGCTCTGCTGAGCACGCCAAGCTTTTTAGAGGCCAATTTGGCCTTCCCTTCCAAGTGACCACGAAACTGCACGTCACTCGATATGTCGACTCCGAGGATACCGATACTGGCTGAAGCAAGAAGGGGAGTGCCTTGAAACTGAGGAGATACGACAAAGGGGTTCTTTTTAGCGGTAAACGCGCAAACTTGTGTCTTCTGAGGATTAAACTGGACTAGATTTAGTCGCCCCCAATCCGAGACTTTGTCCAGCAAAGACTCGACTTCAGACACAAGTTTGTTCCGGTACTCGGTGACGTTTTCCCGAGAAATATTGGCATGGCCGGTGTATAGAGCATCACCAGTGCTGTCATCCGCATAGCAATGAATGCTACCGGCTTGCAACATATCATTAATATGCAGAAGAAACAGCGTTGGTGATAGCACGCAGCCTCGACCACCAGCGTTAATAGGCTTGTAGTCGGAGCATGTACCGTCTACAACGACCTTGATGCTCCGATCTGCAAGAAAGCTGGTGATCCAATTGCATAATTTCTCAGGAAGCCCATAGGAAGGGAGCTTCGAAAGAAGCGCTTTGTGCCAAACCCGATCGAAGGCCTTCGCAGTGTCCAAACTAACGGCCAATGCCTCCCCCTTGGACTCTACTGCCTCCGCCCATATATAAGTTAAGTAGACCAGAAGATCACCAGCTGATCGACCCCGACGAAAACCGTACTGGCAGTCACTAATCAGCTGGTGATCCTCAAGGTACCGCATGAGGTGGCAGTTTATAACGGATTCCATTATTTTGGAGAACAAGGGGGTGATGGCAATAGGCCTGTAGTTGGACGGGTCTGAGCGGTCGCCTTTTTTAGGGATCGGGTGGACAAAAGCTGTCCTCCATGATTTCGGGACTACGCCTAGGGAGTAGGAGTACCGGAAAAGACGCGTTAGAACCGGTGCCAACTCCGGAGCACACGTCCTCAGCACAATAATTGGGGGGATTCCGTCAGGCCCACTCGACTTGTGGATGTCAAGGGAGAGGAGTGCTCTGCAAACCGAGCGCTGTGAGAACCGCACATCCGGCACTTACACCGCGGAATGGTCGGCGGTGTGTTCCCCCCGTCATCAACAGACGAGTTGGACGCAAAAAAGGAGCCTTTTTGCGTCCAACTCGACTGTTGATGAACTTTAAAACTATGTACTTTGTTGTTACGATATTGGCTCAAATATTGGTTGATAGGTAGTAATTTAAACAAAGGGGCGCCAGTTTAATATTATTCTGTTTAGTTTACATTTTCATCAAAATATTACAAGGGATTTCTATAAAAACTTGAAAAAATAATTACTAGGGAAGTTAATTAAGATTTAGTGAAATTGTTTTTTTTTTATTATTTAGTGTAGTGTACAAATATAAGATTTTAGCAAGACCTTAATTTTCCGCCATGTCTGATCTAATATCCATATCGCTCGCACTCTGTCGCACACGGCGAATCTAGCCACCGACCGATGCGAAACGATTTAGGCATCGCGGCGGTACGCAAATATCAGATTTTGTAATACATAGTTTTCGAACGAACCGGTATAATATCTATATCGCTCGCGCTCCGTCACACACGGCTTCCTGTATAGGACAATTACTATACTCTTTGCACACGGCGAATCTAGCCACCGACCGATGCGGAGCGATATAGGCATCGCGGCGGTACGCAAATATCAGATTTTGTAATACATAGTATTGAAACGAACCAGAAAGCGGTTTTTAGATATTGTACCAATATATAGATTTCGTATCAGTATACGGTTTGCATCGCCCACCTCTAACGTCAAGATTGTGACTGGTCATTTGTGGACGAATCGTGGACTGGCGCATTTTCAGTTATTGGCATAGATAAGAGTGTATATACTGAAAGTTATTGGTGATTGGAGATCTCTAAATAATCTCCTGATTATTGGTTACTGCGTTGTGTTCGACATCTAAATTCTACATCAAAATATTTTGTAAATAAACAAACATCGAACAAGGAAAAGTATTTTGGTTTTAAGATTGAGAATTGCGTGTTGTTCATTCAAGATGTCCGTATGCTTCTTTGTGCCTGCGTAAGTTCCATAATGTATATTATCAGTTTTGTAACATTTTAATTATTTCTTAAAACTTAAAACAATTTTTCGTTACAGCTTAACGTAGTGAAATAAAATACTCTTTTTTACAGCTATTTTTAAAACATGGCTATGTATATTAATTACATCGTATTCAGTTTAACTACGTTACAACTATATACCTTTTTTCTGAAGAAGAAACTTCAACTTCGTAATTTTTAAAATACGTGTCTAATACTGCTTATGTCTCTATAAATTTTCCCACGGTTTTAGAATCTTGTGGGATATTTAAAGACAATGGCAAGAGACCCTACGAAATGACTGTGGTCCCTTGGGATAGAGTTATAGCCCTATTGTGGGATGCTACTTACGTATACACTTTGGCAGCCTCTCATCTCAGGGCTACCTCGTTTATCACAGCATCAGAGGCAGCAGAACTGAGTAAGTGGCACAAATATGTGTCTCTGATAGATGGCTACATATTTGTGTCATTAGTTGTAGAGACTTGGTCCATGGGGTCTACGTGCGGTGAAGTTCATAAAGGAGCTGTATCTGGTACTGGTCATCTCTGCTGGTTATAAGAGGGCTGGTTCTTTTCTCACTTGAAGGCTTAAGTGTAGCTATTCTGTGAGGTAATGCAATCAGCATTCTTGGCACTATATACTATGGGGAGTAGAAATGTATATTTTAAGTTTTTAGTGTTAATTTTTTTTATTATAGTTTTATATTATTGTATATATATCAATGTTATGTAAATAAATGTATAAATAAAAGTGTAATTTTTGTATTGCTTAAAAAGAAGGAGGTTCTCAATTGACTGACTGTATCTTTTTTATATATATGTGTAACCTCATAACTTTTTTAGCTAGACAGTAGATACCACATAGTCAGCAAATTCTACTGAACTAATTTTTTAAAGTAAATATATTGGTTTTGCTGGATGCACATAAGTTTACGTGGTAGAGCCATGCTGCATCTGTATTACTGATATAGTTGTAGCACGAATGGGTCGTCTCTACAGGGGATGGACCACGCTCTCACAGAATACCAGCATAAAATAGCAGCTTGACACTGCTGTGTTTCATATGGTGAGTGTAGAGAACTGGAGACCCATTTTACTGGAAAAGAGGCATTCCATCTTAGTCCTCGATTCGCAATCGAGGATAGATGTAGATGTCTATGGGCCACAGCAACCACTTACCATCAGGTGGATTGTTTGCTTGTTTGTCACCCTATCCTATAAAAAAATAGTTGTTCAGAAATGTAGATTTTTGATGGCTCTCCCTTAAATATTTTCATGAATGAAATTTTATAACCTTTTGACATGCGTGATTTGTCCTTTCGTCTACAGGGGTTGGGTTAATTTTCAGTCGAGAAGTAGAAGTCAATGGGCCACTGTATCTACTTACCATCAGCAGGGCTAGCATCGGCAGGAGACAATTTTATCCCTGGGGAAGGAGAAAATGTTTTGTCCCCTCGCTTAGTTTTATCCACCTTTCGGGCATGGGCACACCGGTGGATATAATATCCACTGTAGATAAAATGGGAGATAGACTTAGATAGATTTTTTGTATGAATATAAATTTAAACCCACATCCAATGAACTAGGAGAGAATTGTCCCTTTCAAATGTCAAAAAAATATAATTTTTTATCATTCATTTCGTTCCGTGTTAAGGACGGGGAATATATGTCTACTCGTTATGTCTAACGGATATATACTTCTCCCCCTTGCCATGCTTTGGCATAGGTACAAGATAATTTTATCTCTTGTCAGTGGATATAATCGGGGGATAAAATTTTTGTCCCCAGCCCATGCTAGCCGTGCTGGTGGACTGTGGTAACATTTGTCACTAAATTGTTAAAAAATCGATGTAATAAAAAACTATCCCAACGTCGAACCTAGCTGTCAAAAATAAACTATATTATACTTCTATTAGGATCACTATGCCACTAGGTTTTCCAAACAAAATAACATCAAATCAAATGTATAATTATATGTATATAAAGAATTGATTTTACAGCGACCAAGCTGGTACATCCGCGGTGTCGGAGGAAGTGGAGAATGAAGGAACTGGTGAAGAAAGTTCATCTCCAGATAATATCCAGCATAGTTTGCAGGTTTTTTGGAACAAGGTCACGGAAGATATAAAAAAAGTCACTGCGGTAAGTTCAAATTTTTTCTTGTTTATCTAAAACATTACTTATTTTTTGCGTAGGAATATCTTTTGTATCTTTGTTTTACAGACATCAATTCCACAAGGTGAAAAACCTATAATGGGGGTGCTAAACTAAATTTCTATATGATTATTTATAAAATGAGACCCAAATTCATAGTAAATATATGCACAAAAGAAATGATAAAAATAATATTTATTTAGGAACAAAAGGGAAGTCAGCGTGAGCTGAAAGACGCTCAATTTAAACATGTACAGCGGCTGCATTATCGAATTCACTAAACTTTGTTATCTGTGGTCTATTATAGACCAGAGGCATCATCGAACTTACTGAACTTTGTTAGTTGTGTCTTGTCTAGAAGTGGCTGGCGCTGCTAAATAATATTCGCGCCGTCAGTAATAAGGAACATGCATATTATGTGTTGCTATAATATGAATCATTTAAATATTTGTAGGAGGACTTCAAAACCCAAGCGTTGCCACTAGCGAGAATAAAGAAAATCATGAAACTGGACGAAGAAGTAAAGATGATTTCGGCGGAAGCGCCCGTTCTATTCGCAAAAGCGGCAGAAATTTTTATCCACGAACTCACATTGCGAGCCTGGTCTCATACAGAAGACAATAAAAGAAGGACTTTACAGGTGATGATCGTCGTCAGCTCGTATACAGTAGTTAATTATACCAATTCTGCGTAGTCACATCACGTCAGCTTTATAAGTTCACCGATGGGCATAGGTCAAGAACGTGCCTCTTGGTGTATATTTCTCGACAGATTTGCGCATTTTATGACGGTGGTTACTCAGGGTAGAGGGGCTAATAATGACTATCTAAAATAAAATTATATCGATTTTCGGTTACGGTGACAAGTTTCAAGGGATGGTATTCATCTACACAAGCCAGGTTAGTGCTGATAGCCAGTAGGCTTTCACAGTTTCATTGGGCATGATAGTGCACGATTGTATGCGCTAGCACAGGTACACTCTCTATTACCCCACTCTCATAGTCCGATTGAATAGTAGCCTGACACAACTGGAGAGATTACGGCTTCTCGTGCTTTCCGAGGCGGACAGGTATAAAATCGTCGCCTTCCTGACTCCAAGCTGCTACTGAAAAAGGATCGAGCAAGAAAAAAGTAAAGAATATGGCTAAATGACATATCAAACTCGCGATATGAAGCTTTCGAAAGTTTGTTTGTACTGTCGGATGTTATTAAATATCTATACTTTGTAATAAATAAATAAATAATAAATAAAAGCCATTATCTAAGACTTGATTTTAGTCAATCAGCCACTAAAAATTGTCAAAGGCTGAAGAACAACAAATGCGTGTATAGCGCGTTTACGTCGTTCAACATGTTATGCACACATTTGAATCTAAAGGAATACACTAATAGGAGGCTTTTTTTAAATACAAACACATGTATTGTCCTTTCTAATTTTTAAAGCATTTTACGACTAAACTGCTTATTATGATTGTTTTTAGCGTAATGACATCGCAATGGCAATATCCAAGTCGGATCAGTTTGATTTTCTCATAGACATCGTCCCTCGGCATGAAGTGAAGGCTAGCAAGCCCAGGGAAGACCCACCGCGAGCCAATCCCACTACTGACCAGGTAAGAAATCGTTAGAATTATAATTATACAAGTATTATTATTATTTTGTTTTACATATTTGTCAGCCAATCAGTAGCTAAGTATTCTTGAAAAGATCTAACATCTTTTCAAGAATACTTAGCAACTGATACTACTGATATACTTTTTATACATGGTAGAGCCACGCTGTTGCTATATCATGGTTGTAGCACGTATGCGTTGGCTCGACCGGGGAAGGACCACACTCTCACAGAATACCAGCGTAAAATAGCAGCTTAATGCTATTTTGTATGGTAACTGTAGATAACTGGATGTTTCTTCTTTCTGAAATGTATAATTGACATCAACCACGTTAAGTTTCTGGGGGTTGAGGTTTCCTCAGAACCAAAGCAGTTACAAGGTATTTGGGTGTCAACGCCACTTTGCAGAAACTCAATGGAAAGACGTGATAAGAGGCTTATTAATAAAATCAGTCTCACCGATCTCAAGCACAAGTACAAAGTAGCTAGCCCTTCTGTGTTTAACGAGATACAAAGACAGAGTGTGCAGGAATTGCACTTAATTCCTCTCTCTCCATTCCATCCGATGATTGGACTACCAGATTCTCGGCTGATATTCACTCCTTTGTTGTTAACATACAACATTCGATCATATGTGGTAGAGTCATGCTGCAGCTATATTATGGTTGTAGCACGAATGGGCCGGCTCCACCGGGGTGCCCACGCTCTTACAAGATACCAGCGTAAAATAGCAGTTAAATATTTTGTATGGTGAGTGTAGAGAACCGGAGACCCTTTTTACTGGAAATGAGGCATTCCATCTTAGTTCGCATCTGCATTTTGATCCTTAATCGAGGATATATGTAGATGTCTACAGGCCACAGTATCCACTTGCTATAGGGTAGGCTGTGTGCTCGGTTGTCACTCTTATTCTCTAAAAAATTGTTCGTATTGCATTCAGCAAAGTAGTGGAATTATTGCCAACTTTTTAAAAAAAAATTTTCGTGGTAGAGCCATGCTGCAGCTATATTAGTAGTATAGTTGTAGCACGAATGCGTCGGCTCAATCGGGGAAGGACCACGCTTCCACAGAATACCAACGTAAAACAGCAGCTTAACACTGTTGTGTTTCATATGGTGATTGTAGAGAACCGGGGACCCTTTTTACTGGAAAAGAGGCATTCCATCTTAGTACTCACGGGTGACATCGCATCTGCATTTTGATTCTTTATTGAGGATAGATGTAGATTTCTCTGTGTCACAGCAACCACTTGCCATCACGTGGACTGTGCTCGTTTGTCACCCTTTCCTATATATATAAAAAAAAACATAACTTTCTATCCAAATACAATGTGAATGAACTGAAGTGACAAACAATCTTACAGTCCATGTAATGCAGCCGACTTCAAACAAAGAAGGCAACAGATTCGTTGTCACCTCTGAGGACTAAGATGCAATGCCTCACAGCCTGTAACTATATTCCCTCACTATACCACTCAGACCGGAACAGCACAAGGAAGAAGCACAGCTATGTGACGGCCACATGCTAAGTCTCCAAGGCAAGAGTAAAAGGCTTTTGTAAAGCTAAGTCAGTGCGCTTTGCCATCTTAGGCTGCATCATCACTTACCATCAGGTAGAATGGTAATCAAGCACTGGCTTATAATTGTTTAAAAAAAAAACAAAATTGTGTAATGAGGGCTAATGTCGTTACGGTCACCAGATGTCGCTAGTTGGGACTAAGTGAACTTATTTGTTATGCAGATGGTCACACAGCGTCATCATCATTGCAAAGTTTAATTGTAAGTTTACGGTTTCTAGTGTATGAACATACATAAAACAATGCTTCTTTGCTGTAATCTTTAATTTCTTTTACTTTTATTTTTGATCCTTCTACTTTTAGGAACATACTTAGTTTAGTATCGATTTCTAATCTAATTAATATAAAATATAACTAATATTTCAGAAGGAATCATTAAACTTTACACTTTTCTAACAAATTAAATTTAAAAACAAAATTAACTTTCCCTGCTATGAAATCTGTGAAACATTATTCCTAAGTGGCACCTGCCTGTTTTTTTTATTTACAGGATAGGGTGACAAACGAGTACACAGTCCACCTGATGGTAAGTGGTTGCTGTGGCCCATAGACTATATTTATCTTCGATTAAGAATCAAAATGCAGATGCGTTGTCACCCGTGAGAACTAAGATGGAATGCCTCTTTTCCAGTAAAAAGAGTCCCCGGTTCTCTACAATCACCATATGAAACACAGCAGTGTTAAGCTGCTGTTTTACGCTGCTATTCTGTGAGAGCGTGGTCCTTCCTCGGTCGAGCCGACCCATTCGTGCTACAACTATACTACTAATATAGCTGCAGCATGGCTCTACCACGTATAAAAGTGACATAAAAAGTCGTGAATGCCATATATGGATCCCATTGCTTAAAACATAAACAAATATATTTAAAATAGCCTTACCAAAATTGTCCAGTGCTGAATATTCGATTTGATCTTATCATACAAACGTTACACATCGCCTACGAGAATCTTCGAAGCAGTGTGTTTCGCAGTTGATGCCCTCCGAAAATATTCCAGAGATGTTGAAGTTAAAATATCGTAAAGGTCTTGATCCAAGTAAAGTAAGGCAGCCAGTTGACCGTCCATTAACCTGTACAGTACTACCTTCAGTTGGCGCAACAGCACCAGGCCGCGCTGCAGGGCACCACACAGCCCCAGTTTGTACTGCAGCCCTGCGGACAAGTTGTCCAGGTATTGCTTCATTTGTTCGTTTGTTTTTTTTTAACAAGCCAATGCCCGTTAACCTTGCTGTGCTTGTGTGCTTTTGAGATCAGCCGCCTTTACACGACACGTTCTTTCGCTCGCGATCGGAGTGTGCAGCGGTCTACGCGTATTATACATATATTATATATTTATTTTTATAAATTTATTTTTCATATTCGTATATTGCCAAGAACTCTGTAATCCATATATACTATATAAAATCCTTGCTTCATAATCTAAAGTCCGCCGTTTTACGACGACTATAGTTTTCACAAAACTGCGCGTGTAAATTATGTTTGAAGCTCACAGACTTAAAAGCATGACTGAGGTACGAGGAGACACGCGAGCGGGCTGCGCGCGCGAGTATTTTCGTTCTCCTTCTCTATCTTTACATGTGCGTTCATTTCCGCGCGAAAGCTGATTCACGCGTTAAAGAGCGTATGTTCGAATATTATTGATTATTAATGTGTTTCTGTTATGTATTTCATGAATGATTATTTATTTGTTTCAATCTTATTCCTTTTTTTTTTTTTGCTTTAAAAATCCACAGCAGGTCTTGTAACATGGCGTGTCTCTTTGACTCAGAATATTGAATTATCTAATTTTATGAAAAAAGTAAAAGTTGTCTTCCCCATAGAATAGTCAGAATAGTCAAATATCATCTTAATATTGTATGTATAAGTATATAAGTAGGTATTATTTAAATGTATAGTAATATAACACACCTGTTACCTAGGTTTAGTCTCAGTGCATGTGTGTATACGTTATATAATATGTTAGCACTACCTTTTAACTCGCAATTGTTAATAGATAACTATGAACTTGTATATAACTCTTAGTTGGAAGATCACACACCGACTTGTCTGTGAAGTCACAAGGCTCCAACTGAAAACCAGCGCTGTATTTGCAGCATTATGCTGAGTTGGAGACCTATTTGATGTCACATTTTCATATTGATTTTTTTTTTCGGTTTTACCTTTTTGTTTGTTTGTTTTATTATTGTGTATGTACTGCTTCTCAATTGTAAATGCGTAAACAGTGTTAGACTGGTACATGCATTCTTTTCCCCCTTGCTTTTGTTTATAATATTTTTTAATGTGTGTAAAATGTGTATATCAAATAAATAGTTCTTTCTTTCTTTCTTTCTATCTGTAAAGGCGGCTATTACGTGCGTGCGTGCGTGCTTGTATTAGTACGCGTGCGCATGTACGTGCGTGTGTGTATAATAATTTATTTATTTCTGCATGTATTTTCTATCAGATTCAGTGAAGTGCAGTAGCACAAGGTTGGCCCGCCCACTGCCCCGCATGTGCTCTGCACAAGTACATTCGTTTTCCAACTGTAAGGTCTTTAAACTGATATTATATCGTTATAACTTAACCAAGCCTAATGTAAGCAGTACTTAAGTCAAATACCATCACCGGTTTTATTGTTTTAATTCTAGTATAAATTATACGTGGTACGTGGTATACGTGGTAGAGCCATGCTGCAGCTATATTAGTAGTATAGTTGTAGCACGAATGGGTCGGCTCGACCGGGGAAGGACCACGCTCTCACAGAAAACCGGCGTAAAAATACACTCACCATACGAAACACAGCAGCTTAACGCTGCTGTGTTTCGTATGGTGAGTGTAGACAACCGGAGACCTATTTTACTGGAAAAGAGGCATTCCATCTTAGTCCTCACGGGTGACGACGCATCTGCATTTTGATTCTTCATTGAGGATAAATGTGGATGTCTATGGGTTACAGTAACCACTTACCATCAGGTGGACTGTGTGCTCGTTTGTCACCATATCCTATAAAATAAAAAAATAATTAACATGAGCGCCGCGCCGGCGCGCCGCCGTCGCCGTGAGCTCATGGCGTCGCGTCGGCGTCGCGTGGAGCAGGCGGCACGCCGTCGCGACCACGAGCAACTTAGTTTCCCGCTCGCACGCGCGGCCGACCGTATTAGTTCGCCTTGTCGCCTCGCTCTCACCCATGTTCGTCGCTCACTCACTCGAGTCAAATATTTCACCGAGTTAATGTGTATTGTTCTGGTGTGTATTGTATTGGTGTACTACTCGGGGCAAGCTCAGCGTTAAGACCAAGGCAACCCCTGCCACGTTATCCGTGAATTTCTGCAACATCATGGGACTTCACTCGAACCTAAATAGCGTCCACTACCTAAATGGCGTACCATCTTGAGACGGCGAAGTCGGCTTTACTCTTTCTGACCGAGACGCAGGTGTCCTCTCCGGCTGATTTTTTTTATAGGATAGGGTGACAAACGAGCACACAGTCCACCTGATGGTAAGTGGTTGCTGTGGCCCGTAGACATCTACATTTATCCTCGTTTGCGAATCAAAATGCAGATGCGTTGTCACCCGTGAGGACTAAGATGGAATGCCTCTTTTCCAGTAAAAAGGGTCTCCGGTTCTCTACAATCATCATACGAAACACAGCAGTGTTAAACTACTATTTGACGTATTCTGTAAGAGCGTGGTCCTTTCCCGGTCAAGCCGACCCATTCGTGCAACTATACTACTGATATAGCTGCAGCATGACTCTACCACGTTAAAACTGATACTTCATATCTCTCCTACCCGGGGTACAAATTGAAACACCCGTTTGTGCCTCGGGCTGGAGTTGGCGTATACATCAGAGAGGACATCTGTTCTCGACACCTCGGCAGTCTTGAAGGTTCGGAACTGTCCAGCCTTTGGCTACGCGTACAGAGCGAGAACCATCACGCGTCTACGTTTGCCTCTATAGGTCCCATAGCGGTAATGCCGAAACAGACCGACTCATCGACCACGTCCAAATGTCTATAGATTCCTTGCTACAGCAGATCCCATCCGTAGATATCGTGATCCTTGATGATTGTAACGCCCACCACGCCAAATGGCTCGGTTAACGTTTAACCGATCATGCGGGAAGATCTATTCATGTTTTTGCCTTAGCCTTGTCTTGATCTGACACAACTGGTTACTTCGCTTACGCGGATTCCAAATGTCTTATCCGGATAGATATTAGGTCTCCGCCGACGCCCCTCTTGGCTCCTTGGACCATTGTCTAGTCTGGAGTGTGTTGCCAATTGCCATTCACACTAACATCGCGGTTTTAATTAAATTAAATATATTTTAAATTATTTAAAATAATTATATTATTTTAATCATATAATTATCCATTCCGTGCTCCATACCGGATGTGCAGTTCACACAGCCCTCGGTTCAAAAAGCACTCCTCTCTCTGGACATTCACAAGTCGAGTGGGCCTGAAAATCCCTCCAATTGAGCTGATGACGTGTGATCCAGAGTTGGCACCGGTTCTAACGCGTCCTTTCCGGTACTCCTACTCCCTAGGCGTAGTCTCGAATTCACGGAAGACGGCTTTCGTCCACCCGATCCCTAAAACAGGCGACCGCTCAGATCCGTCTAAATACAAGTCTATCGCCATCACCTTGTTCTCCAAAATAATGGAATCCATTATAAACTGCCAGTTCGTGCGGTACCTTGAGGACCACCAGCTGATTAGTGACTGCCAATACGGTTTTCGTTGGGATCAATTGGTGATCTTGTGGTTTACTTGACTTATAGATGGGCGGAGGTAGTAGAGTCCAAGGGGGAGGCATTGGCCGTTAGTTTGGATATTGCGGAGATCTTCGATCGGGTTTGGCACAAAGCGCTTGTTTTGAAGCTCCCTTCCTATGGGCTTCCCGAGAAATTGTACAATTGGAATGCTCCGATCTGCAGCTTTCTTGCAGATCGGAGCATTTCCTCTGTTTCAAAGCACTCCCCTTGTTGCCTCAGCCAGTATCGGAATCCTCGGTGTCGACATATCGAGTGATGTGCAATTTCGTGTTCACTTGGAAGAGAAAGCCAAATTGGAATTAAAAAGCTTGGCTTGGCGGGGAGGGGGGGGGGGGCAGTATTTCATGCCGGCACTCCGCCTGCCACTTTACAAGGCGCAGGTTCAGAATCACATAGTATACTGTTCCCATCTATGGGCTGGGGCTCCCCAGGGCATTATTAAAAAATATAAAGCTGTGTTTGGTAACAACAAAATGGTTTCGACCACGCTGCGCCGCCGCCGCCGAGGAAATTTTGAGGCCACGCCGCCGCCGTGGAATTGGCGTTCGGCGCTCATAACTAGTATAAATACGAAGTTTTATACAACATGTAACAAAAACCCTGTGGTTCCCGTTAAGTACGTTTTCAGTATCAGTATTCAAACCTATAGAAATAACTTTTTTTTTAAAACTCGACCATATATTTTGTTAATTTTATGTGGTTTTATTACCTCTTACTGACACTAGCCGATTCTAAAGCTAAGTAAAGCGGGGTCTTTGACAATCTTCTTACTCCCCAGACAATGCACAGATAATAAAACCACATACAATTTGCATACAATTATTTTTTTTAAATAATATTAAAAAAATTATTGTTCAAGTTTTTAAAAAAAGTTATTTCTATAGGTTTGAATAATGATCCTGATAACGTTTTTAACGGGAACCACAGGGTTTTTGTTACATATTGTATATGGTTAAATCATGCTGTAACTGTATTATATGTAGTTGCTGCACGAATCAATCTCCCCGGCTGGGGAACGACTACGCTCCCGCAGTATGCTAGCCTAAAACGGTAAAAAAGATTCGAACGCAGGACGGAATAAATATTTACAGGCCATACAAACACTTATTCCTGTGTAACATTTATTCTCTCGATCTTTATCCATGTACAATTTATGTATTTAAGGTGACACTAGTCGACATTATTTCCATAGAAATTTCGGAGGGGTTTTACTCCGCTGTTTGACAGTGTACATCCAAAATTAAACATGATATCGTTTTGTCTCATTATTAAATTTGTCTGTACGGAAACAGAATAGTAAAATAAAATGTTATTAAAAAGTTACGAGCTACCAAAGATTCGTTTTTATTGCCAATTTTAACACAACTTTGGGCGTAAATTAGTAATAAAAGAAGTGTAAAATTTCCAAAACAAAGTCGGTACCGACACAGGTAAATTATCGAAGAACTCAATAAATTTTATTTGTAATTGATTAATGCAGTGGTTTTTTCATAAAACCCCTTCTTCCAAAGGCCTTTTCGTATTTTTTTACGCGCGCATATTACTATGAATTATCGTGCATCTCACTGAATAATGTCTCCCCCGGTGCGGTGCGGGAGGACGATGCTTACACACACATGCACAGGCGGTGACGCGCGCTTATAAGTATTCGAGTTTTATTCGAAACGAAAAGTTTTGCTATTTTGTAATTTGGACGCCAAAGACAAAAGACGGCATGGAAATTGATATAATTGAAAGAGATGATGCGTTTTGGACGACAGACAATATTTTAAAATTTTCGTCTGTAATATAATATAATTATAAAAGTAAAAAAAGTAAAGTCTATATTCGATTACTATATAAAATTGCAACAATTTCATTGGTGCCGACGGGGATCGAACCCGGGTTGCTCGCGTAATGTGATACTTACAGCGAGCGCTAACCATCTGAGCTACCACGGCTCTCAATGCAAGTGTTATAAATAAATAAAGAATTACAAAACAGTTTAATTATTTATTAGACGACTTTTGCGGCGGATAAACAAAGTATATTATGTGGGATTTTCATAGGTACCTACTGTTATTACCTAGATACCTACAATCAACAATACAACAAAATGTCACAAAACCTCGCCGCGTCGTGGCCACAAAATTGTAAACTTTAGGTAGGTACGTCGGTACTAAGAAAACAATCTTGATGGGTCACTTGTCTTGATAAAAACCTGTGTTTACGTTTAGTGATATTGAGTATATATAAAAAAATAAGAAGCCAGGTAAGTAAGTATTTTTGAAAACAATTTATAGGTAGGCAGACCAATTACGATTATTATCTAAATATTATAAATGCGAAAGTTGGGATATTTGGATGGACGGATGAATGGATGTATGTTACTCAATCACGCCAGAACGGCTGAAGGGATCTGGATGATATTTTGCTCAGAGATAGGCTATAGTCCGAAATTTTTTTTTCAAAAAAACTTTACCCCACACTAGGATTTTCTCCTGTATCGTGGAGGCAGTTTACAAACATCCAGACCCGGAACAATTATTTGTAGACCATACAAATACTTGTTCGATTGATTCGAACCCGCGGCTCCCAGTACAACAATTCATTGCTAAGCCACTGCGCCACGGAGCTGCCAAATATCATATATGATACCGTTTATTCAGATATTTCGTTGCCGTGGGATAATTATCGAGTTACACACGTTCGAAGCCGAACTCTTGAGTGATTGCTGCATGACCACTCGGGGAAAACTAAACATAATAAAATAAGCAATCTATATTAGGTATATAGAGCCACAGACGTATACCTAATAATTTCGTGGATTCACCCGCGTCATCACGTGTCCGAGATGCGTGGCATGACATGACACCTAGTTCCAGCATTTTATAATTGCAATCAAATATTTTATTTGATTGTAATATATGGAAAAATTGTCATGATTAATGGAGTACTTTTATTTTATCTGTCGGCATATTATGCGCGGTTTTTTCCAGTTTTAAAGAAAAACGTACACGATTCATGAAAAGTGTGTTGGCAAGAAATGATTCTTGATAAATTTGCTATCAACCTCTTATACTTATTAATTAATTAAATTTAAACTTTCAAAATACCATAGCAACGTGAAATTAAAGAGTTCAGAAATAAAGATGTAACTAATCATTCATACGGTCACCCGGGAGATAGATAAAAGTACTCAATTAATTTTGAATTTATTTTAGCTACTAGCTGTACCCCGCGACTTCGTCCGCGTTTAGTTTAGGGCGTTAATATTGTTGCAAAGACACCTAATAATTTTTCTAAAATTTAAGCAGGCTAAGTTACTTCTTATAACATGAGCTATCTAATAGTGAAAGTCCCGCCCAAGTCGGTCCAGCCGTTTTGGAAATTAACCGCAACAAACAGACTGACAGACATACAAAAATGTTAAAAATTGTGTTAATGTTATAAGTACCGTATACAGTTTCATACGCAATTAGTAAAAAGCTGTTATTTTGACATTATAACAGACACTTCAATTTTATTTATTTGTGTATATATAGATAACGATTGAACTAACGGCTAACCTAACCGCGCTCATAGAAGCTTTCAATACTGGCTTCTCAGTTCGCACCGGGCTAGGGGTTATGCGTTGTTTGCGCGTCAAGCCAAGTAGGTATTGAATTATTTTAATTTTACATTATTTCTTAAACTATGTACTATATAAACATGGTATAAAGAACGAAGTTTATCTTCATAAAATTGTCTTGATAATGAAGTAACTTTGGTTCGTAAGGTGCCTAATAATTAAATTTTCATTTTTTTGTCACAAAATGCCTAATTGTGGCTTATATATAAGAAATAGACATATGGTATCGCGGACTTTTTTTAGACGGAGTAAAGATCTATATTTTTCTAGAACATTGTATTTACGTATCCCGAACCATAACAGCGCTTTTTCTTCTGACTTCCTATATATAGCCTAATGCTGTATAGCCTATACTATTCAACATGAATCTGGCTATAATATCCAAAAAAAGATTTTTCAAATCGGACTGGTAGTTCCAGAGATTAGCACGTTTAAACAAACAAAAACCCTCTTCTGCTTTATTATATTAGTATAGATGTTGCATCGTGTTCGTGTAACTTCGTTTTTATTCTAACGGTTCGGAACACCGTACGAACAAGACATGCGTGAATACTAGTGTCGATATGCTCATCACTGATACTATCTCTGTCGGGCACGATGCCAGGTGAGACAGCGTGCTTTTTGGCCGCGCCCACCAGCGAGTTCGAGCCCGCGACTTGTGCCACCTTAAAACGCCTCCACGATACAGGAGAAAATCCCGATATAGTGTAATATTATTCTAATAGTATTTATATAAATTTATATATATATTATTACTCATATATTTATATAAATTTAATAATTAGTTTTTTTTCTTTCCCTTAGTTTATATTATATTGCACGTTGCACCTATCTGTCAAAATATAAAATGACAATGTCCTTTTACTTTCGGTTTGTCAGGTCTCGCTTAAAACATATATATATATATATATATATAATCGTTGAAAGCGATATTACCACCGTTTGAAGTGCATAAGTTTTCCGTTATTGTAACGAATTTCTTTATATGCAATAAAGAGTTATCTATAGAGGTAACGTTATTTAAAAAAAAAACTGCATAATATTGCTTTATTTTATATAGATATTGACGCGAATCGAATACTATTAGGCATTCCATTTTAGTCTTCAGAAGTAACAATGCATCGGTTTATTGATTCTTAATTGAGCTATATATATATATATATATATATATATAGCTACTCTCTATTATATCGGAGGCCACAGATTTTTCTGTGTAATGTGATGGGTGACGATTTATTTCGCCACCTTACAAAAATAAATTAATAATGTCCTCCAGGGGCCGAATTTGGTCACGGCGGCCAGTCTCAGCGGAGACTAAGTATATGCGCAAGCATAGGCGCACTCTATATTCACTCACTCTTATTTTAACACTCATTAGTCTAAAGGGGCAGTAATTCAACACAATCAGAGAGAGATCAGTTGCAGGACCAACGGCTTTACCTGCTTGTGAAACACCGTCTACTTCCTAACTCCAGGCTGCTACTGGGAACTTCTGACAGAAAAACTCAACCAATAACTGATTTTAGCCCAGTCAATCAAAAATAAAGTATAGCACATACTTTGTAGTAGTTTAAGCTTAACTTAACTTTACAGCAGTCGTCGAATGCAGCCGGGTCATCTTCCGGCAGCGCGCAGCCTGTCACTCTGGTGCAGCAAGTCGTCACCTCGTCGGGAGATTTGCAACAGGTTCCGGTAAGACTACTTACCAATCTACTTAATCAATAATAGTGTGAGCTTCATGATCCGCTGAGTTGTTCTTCAGTCTGCGTTTCAGTTTCTTTTTAAATATTATGATGTAGGGTAGGGTGTAGTTAAAATAGAAATGAATTTGATAAAACTGTTGCTAATTTAATTTCACTAAGCAGATTTGATCTGAAAACATATTCGGTGAAAATCACTATTCTGTCGGTACATAAATATAATTGTCTAAAATATTAATTTAAAACTATTGAGGTCGTAGAACTGAAATTATTGTTTGCATAAAGAGTATAAAAAAGTAGGGCTTCCTCAAGGAATGCCACAAAATACGGTCCTTGAGACACCTACATTTCGATAAGGGAGCCGGATGATCGCTCAATCTCTTCCAAAATCTCAGGTGTCCCGGAAATGACGCTGCCACAATTAGTCTTAAACTTTGACAGTTGGTTCTTTCCGGCAGACAGATCTCTGGCAAAGACTTTGAGTTCTTCGTTCCAAACAATTGTTTGTTCAAAATGAGCTGTATTCAAGTTGCATAAGTCTAGCCACATGCAGTTGGAGATCTGTCTGTTCAGTTGCCTGTATGCTGTCGTATAAAAGCAAAAAAGCCAAAGACAACAGCTTCAATTCCCGTCTAACAGCCATGAGATTAAAAATATGATCGGTGAGTTTTTGGGTTCTCCGACGGGTTTTGCAGAACTTAGATCTTCTTTTTTCGATTTTTTGATTTTTTACGTCTCGTGGGTGTCGTAAGAGGCGATTGAGGAAAGCAAACTTTTTTGTAAAGTCCGCGCTTTATACCTTAATCAGGCTGAAGTTGGCTTTTCGAGACATTCGCGCATGTACGATTTCTAAGCTTCTAAGATTGCTTAGGGAAACAGTTTGTTTTATTTACATTGATTATAAAATAAATTGAAAATTAGTATTATAATGAAAATATATTTATTTATTTAAATAAAACAATAGTATCTAATAAATAATTACAATAAAGTTTGAATATGTAGTAAATACACGATATTAGCGGGGACAACAAATTCTTTCAGTAACCTTAAAATAATATAATTTTAAATTTTTTCAATATTTTTTTTTTATTCACATCATCATAATCACTGTATTTAAAACGATATGTTACATTAAAACATCAATGAACTATAAAAAATATAATATAAAATGGAATCATAATCTATAATAATCGTTATTATCGATTATACTCCAATACTCCAGTACATACGTAATTGTTACCGCGCAATATGCCTATTCCCATCTCTTGTTTTAGTTACCGCCCATCCTGCCTGCTCCTTGTCACCATTTTGTTTCTGAAAACTATATCTGTGCAGCCACTCGGGCCTAACTTCAGCCTAGCCAAGATAGAACGCGCGGACAGTGAACGAGATAGAGTTATACCGCCATCTAAAAGAAGAGCTTTCTGGCTTACCCCTTAGTCGACTCTTTCGACACCCACGGTACGAAATGTAGTGATGGGTTCTCTTAAACCACGCGGCAACTTCTTAATAACAATCCTTTGTAATTTTATGTTTCAGATCCAACTGTCGCAGGCGCAGCTGAATATGATCAGGCCGCAGTTACAAAACAATCCGGGACAACTGATCGTGATACAAGCGCAGCCGCAGCAGACGCCGCAGATCATTCAGGTATTGTATTAAATCTACATGTATAGACTTTGACGATCCACCATCATATATGAGATTTTTTTATGGAAAAGGGTTGCCCCCTTGCTTATAGCGCTCGTGATAGTAAGTGATTACCGTCGCCTATGAATATCTGCAACACCAATTGCAGGATAATTATTGACATAAATATTTTCCAAAATTAGTCAAATAGCCTATTTTGTGAGAAAAATATCGATATTTCTATATATCGATATTGTTACTCAAGCCTAATGGGAAGTGCCATGAAAACCTTATTCCATACGATAGATAGCGTAATAACTTTAGTCTCGTATACTACAGACACAAAGAGCCTAGACTGGCGACGGGCAGCGTCAAAATTACGAGACTTCCGATACTGCGATCGTCAATGTTCCTGCCGAGCGTGACGCATAAGGCAAATTCTCCATACAGCGGGGCAGGCCCGTGGTTGCTAGTGGACTTCTACGGGCTGATGAAGAAGAAAAAGTAGCCAATACATTCTATACGAAGATTTATACAGTACCTTTGTATAAAGAACCTCTATATATCGATTTCTTCGATTTAACAAATTCTTAGAAATCCGCTAGAACTGGCCGTAAGAGTTAATGAAAAAGTATACCTTTACATTACGAATGACTTTGGTAAAAACCTCTTTATAAAGATTTTTCTGTCATTGTAAAACATGAATAGAAAGTATTTTAAACCTCTGCATAAAGTATTGACATGAATTCTTGCTAGATGGATTGATAGAATAAAAAATATACTCACGTCTCTACAGTGTAGAGACATGAATTCTTGTTAGATGGAACGTAACTAACCTGTAGAGTCGACAGGTTCAGACACGTTCAATTTATCGTAAGTAGGGTTGGGCGATTGGAAAAAATATACCGTATCTATCTTTATCGTATCGATATTTTTAAACAGTATCGTCCAGTATCGATAATTATCGCGTAATAAATATAGATATATCCTCATGTTTTGCACGATGTAGTAGGATGAGGGCCACAACTGGACGTTTTGTCTGATAAATTTCACTGTCTATTATATTATTAAATTTATATTTAATTTTAAAATTTATAGCGACATTGATACGAATTCGATATTCGAAAATAAATATCGAATAACGCGATTAAAAATATGGATATTAAATATCGATTTTTTTTGGAGAAAATATCGATATTTCGTTATATCAATATTTTTTACCCAAGCCTAATCTAAATTAATGTTTAGTGTTGTAAGGCATTCATTACAATGTGTTTTATTTTTTATTAAGTTTGCTTAACTTGCTAAAACGAATCTTAGACCAACCTTACCTCTATATAACAAATCTCATTGTAAGAAATTACTCGATATAACGAATATTTTCTTATCCTCTTCAGATTTGTTATACTAGGGTTTAACTGTATTTTAAAATATCCTGCGGTTGTTTGTCACTGTGTTCTATTTTAATATTCAACTTGTCTACCTTTCAAGTAGTTGTGTCTGCAATAATAATCTGGCCCTCTTATACTGTATGCTTCATTTTTTTAACAGAATAATATGACAAATTATTCAAACACTGCCATTATACAATCCACTGCTGAGCACGGGCCCTTAACTTTCTAACAAAGCTCAGTTTTTTTTAAATCAAGTTATAAATTAGTCCACCTGATGGTAAGTTATTGCTGTGACCCATTCGTGCTACAACTATACTACTAATATAGCTACAGCATGGCTCTACCACGTATAAAAGAACATTGTGAAAGAACATCCACTATACCATATCGTCCCCTAGGTGTCGTCTGAAACAGGACATGGGCAGTAGCATCTTCCTGAAATCAATTGAAAATTATAAAAATGTTCGGTTGACAACCCGCTTTCCAAGCGTGGCAACTATTGCAAAATCTATGAGTCAATATATGTTGGTGGTCTAAATTCAGCAGTGGACTTTTATAGGCTTATAATGAATAGATAGATGAATAAGTGAATAATCGATTATTAAACATTACTTGTGAAGGCGGGCAGAAAAGCGACCACAACTATTAAGGCGATACCCCGACCAAAACCTTGCGAAAGTGCGTTTTTCAGAGACTATTATCTCATTAATTATGAGAAATAAATTACATCTAAAATAATATTATTAATGTTCGACATCCTATCATCACATTCCACGTTCTAATTTGTTTTTATGTGTTATAAATACATTTAAAATCTACTTTTAAAAAATGACTAAAATTATTGATTACATGCCTCTGTTGCTAAAGGCAACGCTCTAATCGTTTGAGGATAACACTATTTAATAGATAATTTAAAAATCTATATTATTCACGTTTTAATTTTTAAAGTTCGCTTTTCTTTTTTAGTTAAAATTAATTCCAAAAATTGTGTGAATTCTATGATAAAGCAGCGTACGTCTAAAGAGGGAACGAATGCTCAAGGTTATTTGGTCAGGGAAACGCCTTAAATCGTCAATCAGTGTTTCATTTTAAGCTCCGCCGAAAACAGAGAGGTGTTGCAAACAGTTTTTTGTGTTTATCTGTTTGTATGTCTGCAGCATCATAGCTCTTGTATATATATACCAATTTTGATTAGGTTTTTTGAGTCTGAAATGTGTCTTTAATTTATAAGTATTTTTAGCTATGATTCAAGAAAATCTGTTCAGCCGTTTTAAGATCGTCAGCGCTTTTTGTTTCAAGGGTATTTTTAATTTATTTACAGGTATCATCACACGCTGCGCAGAACCAACCGCAGCAAGTGTACCTTGCTCAAGTCGCAACTAGCCAGGAGGACTCCTAGCTAGAACAGTGTGTTTCCATTCGAACGCAGTTAATACTTCAGTTATTCGTGACATTTTCAGTAAAAATGTTAATTAGGATAATTAATCAAACATGAGTTCAATCATTGTTGTAAAGTTAAAAAAAATGTAAATATATTGTTTAGTTACAATAAAATATGTTTGTATAAGTCATATTTTTTTTTCATTAAATTTGCACTTAATGCAATATTAACTAAATCTTGTTCAAAGTTTCCTCCATAGATTGCCTCATAGGGAAGATATTTGCCACGTTTGGCATCCGGATTGGCAACGTTATTTATTGTTATTGAGTTGTGATCAGGAAGATGCTACCCATAATCTGTTTCAGATTATCTCAGCTTCCTCTTCGACATCCGCGGGATGATAACTATCGAATAGTGGTTTCATAACTGATATCGAATTAAAGTTTTACTTAATTGTAAGTATATAAATATAAGTACGGAATATTTTAATAATTTTTAAATTAAAAATTTAGTACAGCCGACTTCAATATGAGTTATTAAGAATAACTCAAAAACTATTGGTCTGACCTTGATCAAATTCATATGGGACCACACGAGAAGTACCAGCTTTCAAAAGTTATGAGGTAACACACATAAAAAAACATACAGTCGACTTGAGTACCGTCTCCTTTTTGGAAGTCGGCAGAAAAAGCGGCAGTGTGTGTCCTCAACACATTAGTATTACCGGACAGTTTTGTAGGTATTTGTATGAAAGTCGTGGTTAGCTCCTCTGCTTCGTTCCTTAGCTTCTTTTAACTGTCTACTTTCATTTGGTCTGAATATAATTTCGACTTTAAAGGTTCTTCTGATTTAAATAAACGTTTTATGACGCAATACAATTAAATTGTGATATTATTTAATAAATAATCGTTAAATTTCTATTGACATGTTGTCGAGAGGCGGAGCTTGGGATATCAAATACTGACGGGTACAGTGGAATGATAAGAAATCACTCAGATTACCATATGCGGTTGCAGCAAGCACAGAGAAATGTCAAGCTTGACTTGACGCTTACTCCGTACTTGTGGAAAATCTATAAAAGAAAAGGATAAATAAAATCAATTTTAGCTCATGCGTCGTTAATATTTATAAAATTAGACCAATACAAAAAAATGCTCAACTGTTTTCTTAGTTCCTGTTACCACCACCCTTTTACAAATATTAACCATATTTGGTACAAGAGCACACCTATGAGCTATTGCAGATTGAATTGAAGTTATTGGAAGATTATCACCAAAATCTGAAGACTACAAATCATCATTGAATTTGGGAGTTAGATTTACGGAGATAGAGATGGATGGTCGGCTTTCCCCATGTTAATCTCCTGGTTAGGGCCAAGGGAAACTAACTTGTGGAACATCTTGTTCTTGAGATACATTAAATGACCTTACTAAAATTCAATTAGAAATGCCTGTGCTTACTCTTCGCTGATGAGGCATTAGTCTTTACAGGCATAATCTAGTACTGTGTTTAAGAGTGCTGAATTAGGTTATGAATTTGAAAAAATTATATTATTGTGGCCTTGAAAAGATGCGTTTTGTGTTAAATTATGTAAATGTACGATGCATGCCATCATCATTATAGCCCTTACAAGTCCACTGCTGAACATAGGCTTCCAACAAGGATTACCACAAAAACTGTCCTTGGCCACTATATTTTAGAGGTATAATACCAAATATCACTAAAATATAATAATATTATTAAAATTGCATTTTCACAATAGTTAACAATTTTATTTTTTTCTGAGACAAGTATAATATTATAGGTGGGCTCCTGTAGATGTTCTGTGAACTATTCGGTTGTGAAATAAAATATTTTTCAATATTTTAATCTCTCTTTAGCCAATAAGCGATTCACAGCGTGCCCACAGACCAAAATGCAGACGCGTTTCCACCATATAGGTCTAAAATAGAATGCCTCGAGTCGTTACCAGTTCAAGTCTCCGATTCTCGTTCTCTGTCTTCACCATAGGAACACACAGCGACATTACCCTGCTACTTTACGTTGCTATTATGAACAAGCGTGGTTCTTCCATGATCGAGCCGACCCATTTTCGGGCAGTAGCCATTACACTCCACAACGTGGCTCCAATATAAAATATTATGCAGTAGGCAGTAACGTAAGAAATTAAAAACAATTTTTAAGTCTAATTTTTATTGGAACAATTCACTACTTTGTATGATGCGAAACCAAAATGTTTTGGCATTAACATCTACATTTATAAGAACTAAACATTGCACATTTCTAAATTGACTACACTACTTAAACTAGAAGCTAAACTCTAAGTTAAACCTAGTTCAAACATACCTTAACAACAATAAATTTTGACAGAAATAACGAATATGTCGGAGCGTCTATAAAATACCGGTTGGATCGAGTTGGAATTGAGGATATATCGAGAAACCTCCACTTTGTGCAGTAAAAGTTCACCGTAGGCGCCGTGCGGGGGAGATTCCACTTAAGTCATTCTACGAGTGCTAAGATAGTGTCGTGGTTCTTGTTCGTTGTAGTAATTCTTCTAGAACAGGCAGTGAGGATGGTGTTGCTGAGAGGCTGCCATGTGTTACACTGAGATAAGTAGTGTTGCTGTTGGTTTGCATAATTTGGTGTTATCACGTAATTACTTTCCTCACGTTACACTACGTCATCGTGGCGGGGACGTGTTACGGTGTGGTCAAACTGTAATTTCACTATACTGAATGTATAGTGTGTTACGTTGTCTTATTACTGATAATGATTCATTGCGTAAGCAAGAGAGCTCTCATACTTTTACTACTTTTAACGATCAACGCTACCCTGATGTATTTCCGAGATCAAAATTGGGATCCTATATTGAATCTCCGACAAATGTATGTATATAATATAATATGTATATCAACAAGATCACCATAAAACAATATAATTAATCACGGCATAGTATTAACTAAAAGGATTTCATATAAAGGTAACAAAAATATTAATCTTATTTAATTAATATATTATTTGTTTAACAATTTATAATTTCTTACGATAACATCAGGTAAGAATATCAATAGATACTTGTATGTACATAATTTAGAAGAACTTAATAATTAATATTATTTTTGGTCTAACCCTAATATACATAATTTAAATTTCATTTTTATTTTATTATACAGGGTTATTTTTCAGAGTAGCCAAATCTTATACTTAAGTTCAAATATATAAATAATGATATACCGTTATTGCAGTTTTTGAAAATACGAGTAAATAAGGCTTCTACTTTCTTTTGAAATGATCCCAAACTGAATGTGTTTTATGGGCAAGAACTACGCGTACGCGCTCTCCTCTGTGTGCGATTCAATTCGCGTTTCTGCCGACTGAGACACCCTTACGAATGTGAGCGTGAGTAGTAAAATAGTAGGCGTTAGATATTTATGAATGACAATCGGATAAAATTATGCATTAACACGCATTTTGAATTTAAAAGATAAAAAGGACAGAATATTGGAGATTTTTCTAAATTAATTTTTCTTCACCTTCATTACTTATTTTAAACTTTCTCTGCAGATTTGGCCGTATGTATCAAAATAACCCTGTATATTACCAGTGGTAACATTAGAAATTACATACAATAATTACTTTGCCGCATTTATAAAATCAATAACCAATTGAATCCTCTGAAGCAAATTTTGAGAATTCAATTCGTAATCTTTATATGTACTCGTAAGTAATAGTTATCAGATTAAACAATATCGGCCTTACTTATAAAAATCCACGTCTATATAAGAAAGCTTTAACGCTTTCTCTCTTTTTACTAAATGACAAAAGAAAGAGACAGGTATAGATATAAATTATACATAATTTAAGTAAGTAGTAATCAACGATTATAAGTAAGACCATATATTTTATTTTTAATAATAAAAGCACAAAGTCATGTGATATAGAAAACAACGTCATGGATAGTGCATTGCAGAGAGAAATGTGATGTTATATTTCACTAATTTCGTAATACAATTTAGTCACATAGAATGGTTTTAATTTAACCTAGATTTATATACTATCACTGACCACAGTAACTTAGAAGAAAATTTATTGCTTTAATGCATAAACCTAAATGTTCACTAATTTAACATTAACATAAAATCACACTTTTGTGACATTCCTAAATAAATAATGTTTACTTAACAAAATTGGAAGACAATCGGATTTTGTTGCTTCGTAGTGTTTTTTTTTTAATTTTCTAACTTAAATATTATGCCAAAATAATGTAACTATATTATAACTAAATGTCGAATGACTTCCAAGTTCCCCTGTATAAGCTGTAGGGCTATGTTAGTTACCAAATGGCAGATATAGGTAAATGTTTTTAATAGTAAGAACTTTCAACGACTCTCCATTATGCATTCTGCATCTGGTAATAACGTATCTTATGATTGATTACGATATGATTTAACGTAGTTTTTGCTGGGAAATATTCCGGCAAGAATTTAAACTTACATAATATCTATATAACCTAAAATTTATAGTTTTTGTTTAATTGATTAGTATGACATTTTTAAGTTTTTTGCTTTTAATGTCTGGCTTAATATGGGCTTTGGTAAAATTCAAAAGTTATACTGTAGGAATATGTCGAAGATATATAATATATTATACAAAGCCTAAAAAATTAGGGTGGAGACTATTCTTAAATTATGGCGATTATATTTTCTGGATGTAGCATTTCTCATTTTTCCCTATAATATATTCTAATTGAGCGATGTCCTATTCTAAATGATTACTTAGTTATTATCGTTAAAGTCAATAACATATATTTGGTTTATTCTCTAAAACAATAACTAACAAACAGCACCTTCATCATATCACTGTGTATATTACATTCGTTGTCAATAAGAATAGTGAGAGGTAAAATATTTATTAGATAAACATATTAGATTTTTTAAATAAGAATAAATAAATGAAATTCTATTGAAAGGAACTTTATACACGTTAACGTTAGGGCCGATTGACACATGGACAAGTACAGTAGCGAGTTTAGTCACAAGACAGTTAACAGTAAACGGTCAAGTGAGCAGTAGTGTTCAAACGTTCTCGTGGCGAGTTTAGTTAAAAAAAGGTATAATTTTATAAGGGTCGAACGCGAACACGTTGCGTCCTGTCAACTTATGCGCTGAACTAAACTCGCTCGTTCAGACGAGCGGCGAGTTAGGTTGCGGGAGGACAACACTTCGAACTTGACTCGCCAAAAAATAGACCGGCCGGCTATACCATTCAACTTAATTGTTAATTTGCTACCTAACTCACTGATTGCCGTTCAAATGAGATTTTGACTCGCTGTTGTAATAGTCGAAGTGTAAATAATCAAACTATCACGTGATATTGCACGTGAAATCTAATTTTGAGTGTTGCTAAGCGTTAGGGCGAGACCACACAATGGGTTTGCAGCGCGGCGATACACCGCGTACATACAACTGTTAAATCAATCAAACTGTTTAGTTGAGATATGTGCTTGTGAAGTTTTATGACGAATAAAATGTTTGGTCGGAGTTGGTGCGCATACAGTCGATCCAGTAATAAACGATTCTTCTCTACGGGGTGTCAATTTTGCAGCAAGCAATTATACTTAATAATTCCTTGGTAATAAGAAACTACTCGCTTGTGCTTGACTTTGTATAATACCTAATAAACAAATTACTTTTTCTTTGTCTTTTCAACGGCGCTAGTGCACAAATAAGCAGTCGTGGATCGACTGTTTAGTCCAGCGTATGCACCCCCCAAGTATATTTTTTAGCCTGGATAGTTGTTCAGCTGCCGTTACCGTCTATACATTGTCTCATAAGGGCGATATTTTCCTTAGTTAGCAACTGCAGTTTTATATATTTTAGTTGTTATTCGGAAAACGTCCATCTGCTGGTTTATGATATGGTGTAGAGGATATTCTTACATTACAACTACACGGTTTTAATTAATAAATGAAAGAGTAATAGATGGGTTTTTTCTTAATTTTTTGTCATGAAACTATCAAGTTGATAATATTCGGACGTCTACAAATTACCATAAACTTTTGACATACTACTAAACAGTTGTTCGATTATAATTTGTATGGCGCTTTCTTGGATGTACGGTACGACAGCGTTATACCAATATTAAGCGCATATTTACCAAAAATTTTAAAAGATACATTATTATTTATCGTCTTCACTTGATGACAACATTGTAACAAATTAAAAAAAAACAACTTTCTGCGCCGATTAGTGTCTATAAATCAGAACATATAAGCGTTATCGCAGTAAACCTACCAAAACATAATAATCCTTAGGGGGCGTTCAAGTATTACGTAACGCAATTTGGGGGGGAGGGGGGGTCTTGTAAAACGTTACGATGCGTTACAGGGGCGGGAGGGGGGTTCGACCAACGCGTTACGTAACATTTTTTATTTTAAATAAAAAAACAAGAGAATTAAAATCTCCCAAGTTAGCAACCCTTTTCGTTTAGGTTGACGCCGATGAATCCGATGCTAGCTGAGGTAGCAAGGGGAGTGCCTTGAAACTGAGGAGATACGATAAAGGGGTTCTTTTTAGCGGTAAACGCGCAAACTTGTGTCTTCTGGGGAATGAACTGGACTAGATTTGGTCGCCCCCAATCCGAGACTTTGTTCAGCAAAGAATCGACTTCAGACACAAGTTTTTGTTTGTTTTTTACATTGCATTGCCAAAGGTAAAAATAAATATGTTATTTTATTTTAAGAGTTTATTTAATAAAATGTATGTAAGGAAAAGGCCAAGTTAAAAAAACGGCGTAATTAAATGTATGGTTAGGAGTAAAAGTTTATTAGGACTGATTTGAGCCCATTTTAACATATTTTAAACTTAAGCAAAAGTTTATTACAATGTGTGATTGTTTATTAAATATCAATATGAATAAATAAAATAAACAATCAACAATGTATTGCGAGGAAGAAATCTCGTTTTATTTATTACTAGCTGACCCGTCGAACTTCGTACCCCAATGTTACCATCGTAGAAATATTGACAAATATTTATACGATATGATACGATATTATATTTATTTATTTTTTTTATAGGAGAGGGGGCAAACGAGCATGCGGCTCACCTGATGGTAAGTGACTACCGCCGCCCATGAACAACTGCAACACCAGGGAGGGAATTGCAGATGCGTTGCCGGCCTTTTAAAAAGGAGTACGCTCTTTTCTTGATGGTCCCTAAGTCGTATCGGTCCGGAAAAATCGCTGATGGTAATCGATTCTACAAGGAAGTCGTGCGAGGAAGAAAACATCTTCTAAATCGCACAGTGGTGGACCGCCAATCATCCAGATGGTGTGGATGGTATCGGGAGTTCTGCCGCGATGTGCGTTCGTGAAATTTGGTGGCTGGGATTAATCCGAACAATTCCTCAGAGCACTCCCCATGGTAGATGCGAAAGAAAATGCAAAGGGATGCAACATCTCTTCGCAGTGCCAATGAATCGAGCCGATCGGAAAGGGCTCGATCGTCGACGATTCGAGCCGCTCTGCGCTGGATGCGATCAAGTGGAGGGAGCTGGGACTGTCGAGCCCCTACCCAGAGATGGGAACAGTATTCCATGTGAGGCCGAACCTGCGCCTTGTAAAGTTGCAGGCGGTGTGCCGGCATGAAATACTGTCCCACTCTGCTGAGCACGCCAAGCTTTTTAGAGGCCAATTTGGCCTTGTCTTCCAAGTGACCACGAAACTGCACGTCACTCGATATGTCGACTCCGAGGATACCGATACTGGCTGAGGCAAGAAGGGGAGTACCTTGAAACTGAGGAGATACGACAAAGGGGTTCTTTTAGCGGTAAACGCGCAAACTTGTGTCTTCTGGGGATTGAACAGGACTAGATTTAGTCGGCCCCAATCCGAGACTTTGTTCAGCAAAGACTCGACTTCAGACACAAGTTTGTTCCGGTACTCGGCGACGTTTTCCCGAGAAATATTGGCACGGCCGTTGTATAGGAGCATCACCAGTGCTGTCATCAGCATAGCAATGAATGTTACCAGTTAGCAACATATCATTGATATGCAGAAGAAACAGCGTTGGATTATACGATAATAACGTCACTCAATTGTTTTGCCTTCCCGGAACCCCTCCACTAACACTTAAACTTTATTGGTATGGTATTAAAGTTCAAATTGCCTTTAAGTCTTGTTACGAATCTTTTGTTTGGGAATATAGAAAAGTGTTGTTTTTATACTTTTTCAGGCAATTATTAAACTTTTCTCTCCGTAAGAACCATATTAGTACTTCAGGGAATATTATAAAAAAAGAATTAGCGAAATCGGTTCAGCTGCTCTCGAGATTTGCGCTTAGCAACACATTCAGCGATTATGTGTTGCTGCGACGAACGACGACGAAAAATAGCGATAATTTTTATATTATAGAATTATAGATTACCGCAAACGCGATTAAAACAATAACAAAGTTATTTTAGTTCCGGTAATTTGCGCAAAGTAATTGTGACTTTTAGGTAAAAATGGTCACTTGGGTGTTACGTAACGTTTAGAGGGGGAGGGGGGGGGGTCTAGGTAACGTTACGGCGCGTTACATAGGGGGGTGGGAGGGTCAAAAATCTTCAAAAATTGCGTTACGTAATACTTGAACGGTCCCTTATCATGACATAGGTCGATTCACCGGTAGTTGACGCGTTTCGGCACCAGAGTTCTGGTTGCATTGCACTTAATACTTCTAGTCCCAGGTCTAAGATTTTCTTTTTTCAACACGCTTTAGCTAGTGTCCTGCGCTAAATCTAATATAGCTAATGCAAAGAAATTGAACCATCGCATCGTGTGGCTTACTCTAACACGTACCTTGCCTTGTTTTAATAAAATTATAACCTATACATATCATGATGAAAATATTAAGAATTTCTATCAAGTACATATTTTTAGATATTAGAATCAAGAAATAAGTAACAAATATACAAAAATAACATTTCGCCTAACGAAAACTTTTACCTCTTTGGACCCCGTCAGATTTTAAATAACTAATTTTCATACTTATAAAGATATATATACTTAATTAGATCCATATTAAATTAATATCTGAAATATCAACAAAGTAGAAAATATAAAATATACAACAAAAACTCTAGAATATAAGATACAATCTTAAATTTTGAAGAAACAAAATAAGAATATCTGGCAATTTCAGTATAAAATATAAACGATAAATGATTTGTATTAAATAATAAAATTTAATATAAATTTATAATATCACTAATTTATTGTTTGAGCCATTATTTCATTGCGCTAGTTTCATTGTGGAGGGCGAAATGGCGTCTTAACTTATATACCTAATCATTTTTTTTATATAAAGTGATATTTGATAAATAATAATTTGAAATTATGGCGAAATTATCAAGCAATGCCGTCAAATGAAATTAAATAATGCGATAAAACGAGAGGAATTACAAAAATAAGTATTTTTAGTATAAATATCAAATTAAAAATAAGAATTTTAATAAGACCTGAAAGGCGTAATATATAAAAGATCCCTAACATATTTTTAATTATATTTCATAAAAGGTACGGCATTACTTAGAAAATAAAGTTAATGCAAGGAAATATAAAATTTTGCGAGCGCGGGATAAAAACTATACTAGTAAAATATCGCAATCAAATTTTGCATATTATTATGTAGTTGCCACTTGCTCCTCCAAAGTAATGTTACGAAAGGACGCGGCCTTTCAATTCACCATGTAAATTGGCCACTCATGGCAAGCAGCGGGCGGCGGTATAGGTATAGGAGAACCTCCTCCCACTGACACCACCTCTGGTATCTGAAAAGAAGATAATTTTTATTATAGAATAGAAAAGAAGATAGTTTTTATATGTGGCGAGTGAAAGGAAAGGGGAGATCTCCCGCCGGGCAAGGTCTTCTGCCCGGGGAGCGACCAACGCTCCGAGTGGTAGTTCGGAGTTATTCTATATATACTGCTTTAACTTCGAAACTTTGTTAGCGTGATTTAGGCTTCGGTGTGTTTCGCTTGGGTCGCGACGACAGCGCCGCCACAATAGAATAAGGATGTCAAACGAGCACACAGTTCGCCTTATGGTGGATGCAGTAGCCCCTACACCCCTCCACGCCTACAACTACCGTCAATTAAGAATCAAAATACAAAAAATGCATATGCGTTGTCACTCCTGAGGAATAAGATGGAATGCTTCGCCATAAGAACCACAGCAGCAATAATCTTTTGTTTCACGCTAGTATCCTGTGAAAGCGTGGTTCTTCCTCAGTCGAGCCGGCCATAAACAACTGCAGATTGGCTCTACCAAATATTATTTATGTTACTGAATATGTTAAATTTTATATTTTAGCTTCCACTGAAATACAAGGTCATTATAATGTATCTTTAACTGAGCCTTTACTGTGCACTTCATCATCACTTACAGGGGTTCCACATCCTCTGCTGAATATAGACGTTCCCCAAGGAATGCCACAAAACACGGTCCTGAGCCACCTGTATTCATTGCATATCTCACTAGGTTGTCACTGCATCTAATGGGAGGCCACCCTTTTACTCAGTTCACCGAGAAAATTTTACGTCATTGTCGGTTGTCGACTTTTTGAACTATATGGTCAGCCTAGTCACTTTTACTTATGAATCCGTTGGGCTATTTGTGTGAAACTCCAAGCATCATTGCTCTCTCTATAGCTCGCTGAGCGAATCATAATACGAGCAATAGGAAGGACTAATGTAAAGCTACATATTATATCATCACTGGCGAGCAATACGCAGTGTACACTCATGTTTTTAAGTTTTGAGAAATACTTTTAATACGTGGTAGAGCCATGTTGCAGCTATATTGGTAGTATAGTTGTAGCACGAATGGGTCAGCTCGACCGGGTAAGGACCACGCTCTCACAGAATACCAGCGTAAAATAGCACCTTAATGCTCCTGTGTATCGCATTGTGAGTGTAGAGAACCGGATACCTTTTTTACTGGAAAAGAGGCATTCCATCTTAGTCCTCACGGCTGACAACACATCTGCATTTTGATTCTTTATTGAGAATAGATGTAGATGCCTATGGGTCACAGCAACCACTTACTATCAGGTGGACTGTGTGCTCGTTTGTCACCCTATCCTATAAAAAATACATGATGAGAAGGTGTGTCGCAATTTCACATACCTGAACGCTGTCCAGGCAAGCTAGATTCGTCGACTGACCTTTTGAAAGTTGAACTTGCCTAACAATTTATCTAAGGTAAATATACTCGTCAACAACTTCAGAACACTGTTCTATTAAATTTCTGAGATTTCTTTTAGATCAGCATAGTTTTAGTTTCTTAACTTGACTTTCTTAACTTAATTTTCATCATAATGGTACTAACCATAGTTTGAGGATGATGAGGTGGGTGGTAATAATGTGCTGGTGAGACAGGTGGAGTTGGATATCCCCAGTAGACCAGAGGCGGCAGCGTTGGTCCCATTGCTGGGTAGTAGTATGTCAGTGGACCTAGAGATAAATAATAAATTTATGTAACTATTCATTACATTTAACATATCATTGACACTTCTTTAGCGATCACGATTTTTTTTTGATAAATAATAATTGACACTTGAACAGGATATTTGACTAATTTAAAAAACTGGTAATGTTAGGTCTCCTTAAAGATGCATGAATGCTATAGAATGTAAATAACGCTCAAGTCCAAATCGATTCATGCAGTTTGTTAGTCACGTTTTAATACTACCTTATACATTTTATATAAAGTGTTTTGTATTTTAAGAGGCATCAGACGGTATTATTAGTTAAATTAATTATTAAAAACATATTTTTGTGCATACATTTATTAATTGTTAAATAAACCAATAAATTTACTCAAATACATTGATGGCTCCAAATAATGATTGGTTATATTTCTATCTTGGACCCCAAAAATCCCTTGTGCCCTTATATATATATATAATAAAAATCCCATAGAAGTTGATAAACGCGTTATATCAATGTGTAAGTTTGGTAAATTGCGAAAATGTTTGACTGAATCAAAATATTTAATAAAGGTAATAATTGTGTGCATATCTGTGACATTTGTTATAAATAAATAGATTCATCAAGACATTTTCTGGACCGACGATACAAACAGACGTACCACAAATAATGTAAGATATATGTAATTAAAATAATGATAAACACTCACCAGGGTCTCAGAACGCATTAACAGTCCACCAAAGCAGTGCGCAACTTACACCAATACTCTGATATTGTTTGTTACACACGCCGCTGTTGCCGCCAACCACCAAGCTAGTCTGCGGACTTTACCAAACTTATGCTGGCCTAGTACCCTAGTGTATTTTGCACCGCTCATTGCGATCTCAACTTCAAAAGAAAACGTCGTTTTTTTAATGAACTAGTGGATTTTAAGTGACGATAACTTATTTTATCAACAGAACTTATTTTACAATTGTTCTTGCATTATAAAACATTAACTTCAGATCATTGATATAAATCTATAGATGCACAATGAGCGTCAATCAAAAAGAGCGCAAAGAACGAATTGCGCTCACGTTTATTGTGGCTTCCACAGACGATCGCATTGGCCAAATTTCAGAAGTGTTTTATTTTGTTAATCGTTTACCAAAATTTTTAGTAACTCAAACTTTCATACAAAAGCAGAAAGGAACTTAAAACCGTTAAATTGGATAGGAAATTTACGTTTGATTTTACTAAAACAGCAAGAAAAAACATCGATTTTTTTATAATCGAATCGACAGAACCACGAAGTTGAGATCGCAATTATGTTCAAGGATAAGAAGAAGTTTTTATATTTCACGTGATCCCACAACAAATGATAGGTAATACTTACGCAACTCCATGTTACATTGATGATTACTTGGTAACACTAGACATTCAACTAGCCACTAATAGGGCGTTTATACCTTGCACCCATGAACTCATTAATTATTTCTAAAGCACAAAAATTTTTGTCTACAACACACTTAAGCGCTGAAATTGATCCCATTGTAAAAGATTGTAGTCTCTATGTAACACTGTCACCGGGTATTCCATGCATTTTGAAGCAGAACTTAATGTAAGAAAAATAAGGATGGGGCAGAGCGAGTAAACTTATAGTATTCCAATATTGAGTGTTAATATCGTAAACATATAGCAGAAAAACTTTATGTTGAATACCATGATGACGATGATTTTTGATGAATAATATGTTTTGTAAGTTCATATATTATGTTTTAACTCATGAAGGCAGGTTGATATTGTCTGTGTGCGTAAGCCCAGGAACGCTAGGTATTGACCGCATCTATTTCGCGCCAAAATTTAACATTGACTTATATAAAGGATATGGGAAAAGTCGTACACAGTGGGGTATTCAAATTAATATTTATACGTAGTTACTTATAAGCAATAGTGCGTTAGAGTCTAGTTAAAGCATGCAGTTTGGTTCTCAAGATCCAAACTACATAAATATTATATAATTTAATTTGCAAGATGGCAGTGACGGTGAAACTGACACGAAAGACGAGTCTACTCAAGATTCCACTTAAAGTATTTTTTTCATGTTTTTATACACTAATAGTTTAATTTATATTATTTATATGATGTGTGTAAACAAATATTGAACACGAAAAGAACACAAATCTAACTACATACTTGTATTATTTTCGTTCAATAAAGATGAACTTGCTAACGCTACCTGCAGTTACGCAAACAACGGCGCGTTCTTAGACACTTCATAACTACAAGTATTGCTTGGCCGCCTTCGTGAGTTAAAGCATCTATAAATGTTTAAAGAAAGCACTTTATGCGATATCAAATCTTTTCTATAAGTTTTGCTTTTCCAATAAAGTGCAGTACTTATCGTAAATGATTTGATGTACATACATGTACATCAAATTAATTCAGCTCAAGTAAATACTGAAAACAAATATCATTAAAGTATAACCACTGCTTTAAATTTCCTTTGATTGCACATTAGTGGAAAGCGGATATTTTTTATGTAGTTAAAAGTATCAAAATTAGTATATATATATATAATATACCTATGCTCTGCCCAATCCCAAGTTACTGTAATGAATCCAAATGAAGCTTAAAACTGTGCTTTTTGTGAAGAGACCGTTCCAGTTTAACCACTTGTGTTGTATCCCATATTTAAATACGATAATTAAGAGACCCTTTATTTTATTACCGTTTCTGGTTTACCTGATAGTATAGTATGTGCTACACGTACACATTAGTTAAAGCTAGGTTAGGAGGCGGGGAACAGGACATGATTGTGCCATTTGTATGTTGCAAGTGAGTGTAGCCTTGTGAAGGAAAGTTGTTTTTTTTTTGTTGTTTTGATGTGATTATAAAAAACCGTCATTTTGTGAAGTCATAGCTGGTAACTAGGCTAACTTCATTCAATACCATCAAGTCTGGTGTGCAAATAGGAAAACAATATTAATAAACTATTTATTACTGTGATTAAAAACGGACGGTGTAAGAAAATGTTTTAAAATATCAATATTGTGTTTGATATGTACAATATAGGTTCTCTTTAAAAGCAACATTATTTAGTTAAATTATTCAGAAAGGATATTTGTTATTATCGATTATGTGAAGCAATCATGTATGAAAAAATCAATTCAATATTTTATGCATCTGTAATGTAGATGAAAAATCGCATATTAAATCCTATTTCTAATCTTATTTTAATCGCATATTAAATAATTTTATGTACTACTAGCTGTTCCCCGCGACTTCGCCCACGTGTTATTTGGGGTTTTAATTTTTTTGCGCGGAATCCTAATTATTTTTCTAAAATAAAAGTAGCCTAAGTTACTCCTTGAGACATCAGCTATCTGCCAGTGATAATCCCGTCAAAATAGGTCCAGGCGTTTCGGAGATTAGCCGGAACAAAAAAAGTATTGCTATCGGTAAAACCTTTGGGAATTGGCTAATAAGTAACAAGTATGCAACATGTCATGTTAAAATATGTATACAGGGTTATTTTGCTATATGCGCCCAAATTTGCAGAGAAGGTTCAGAATAAATGAAATATAGGCGAATCAAGCATTCTGTCCATTTTATCTTTTAAATTCAGAATGCGTGCGGTTTTTTCAGAAACGCATTATTTTAACTGATTGTCATTCATAAATATCTAACGCCTACTATTTTATTACGTACGTACACATTCGTAAGGGTCGATCGGTCGGCAAAAGCGTTGTAAATTGAATCGCACACAGAGGAGTACGCGTACGCGTACTTGTTGCCCATAAATCACATTCAATTTGGGATAATTTCAAATAAAAGTAGAAGCCTTATTTACCCGTATGTTCAAAAAAGGCAATATATCGTTATTGCAGTTAATCATATATCGATTATTGCATATATCGACATCATTATTTATATATTTCAAATTAATTGTAAAATCTGGATACTTTTTGAAAAATAACCCTGTATATTATTTACAGTATGGTTTACTCCGTGCATTTATATACTAAATAACTGTGTGTAGTGCTGTATGTGTATGAAAATATGACAAGTATTAAGTTAGTAAACATTGAGAAATCATAAATAAGGCAAGCCATATGTAGGTTTGTTAACCTGCACCCCTCCTTCACAAGTATAATATAAACAAAGACGGCTCTTTCTATGTTAAAAAATACATAAATAGCACAATCAACCACAAACCAGAGAAACTCGCAATAATCATGTTCTAACACGGAAACTTATCGATTTATTATTTACTCAATAAACTTTAATTAGGCAACTAAAATAACTATGATAAAAAAAAAACTCGTTACTAACCTAAAAAGTTATTAAAACAGAGTCCTAATGGATTGTCTTAGTTCTATTATAATTATTTATTGCAATTCATTAACCTCACATATTTAAAAAATGTTATATTGGAGATTTCAGTTCCAGGAATTGCCAAAAATGCCTATTTTTAATGATTAGAACAAAATGAAAACATGTGTTATTTTTTTATATGACATCGAAGCTAGAAATCCGGCATAAATAAGCTTGAAAAATCGGAAATCGTACTTTGCTCACATTTAAGTTATGGATTGGCATTTTTAGCCATTCCAAATTCATAAAATACATTTGATTTTAGATATAAATGTACTAAGCGCTATCCTCACACCACCGCCCCCCAGTCACTACACATATTTGAGATATTTTAAAAAGTGCGATTCCCAGTAATTATATAAAGGTAGACTTTAAAACCAATCTGTATACATTTTCATTTGTACCTACCGAAGGAAAACATTTTTGCATGCGCTAATAATTAAGATATCCCACAGACAGTGATTATTAAATTAAGAATTAAGCATATAAAGAAGACTTAAACAGCAGGAAATAGAAGAAGCTGTGATAGACATTGATAACGTGTGTTAATGACTGGAGGGTGTGCTATAACTGAAGGGGTTCGGCGGCTGGGAGTGAAACAATTATATTTGAAGCAAAGGGGGTAAATTCTCTATTCGGTAGATAACTTCACGGCTGACAAGGGCAAACAAAAAGTTTCTTCGGTCATCTAATTTGTAAAATAATAAATTAATAAATTAAAATATCTCGATTATGATTTTTAAAATATTTGCATCACATTTTGATATTTTAATGACAAATTTAAAAGATATATGACGGAAGAACCCTCATTATATGCCTCACAAAACCATAATACCAAAGTAATAAAGCTCTTTATCGTGTACAATTTGTATTAAACATAAACATACATACAGCTAGGCTGCAAATACGGTATCCGGCCGCGCTGTGATATGGAAATGTCACTGCGCACATAAAAACTCGATAATTGTTACTGAATTCATGCAGTTTCATTGCGATTCCGTAAAAAGCGGACCATGCCAAACCCATATTACTGTACTCGATAATAATATTATAGTAGTTCTCTAAATTAAAAAAAAACAAGTGCAAAACTTACCATAGACTAATTTTACCACATTCAAGCACATTTTTCATAAACACAACCCGTTCGGATACATCATATTACACTTGATTATATTAATAAACACAATATTGCATTGTAAACTAGACTAGAGCTTGTTATAACTTTGACAGATAAGGAATAATTTGTCAAAATTACAACTTTACTGTATTAAAAGAAATGACAGAAAAAAAGATTAGCCATTACACCATGTACTTGTGACTGAAGCCCCCAATACCTATATTTAGGAATATCCAGACAATGGCGACACCATAAACAATGACGGTAACTTTTGTCTCTCTCTAAAGAACCGTTATAAAGCTCATCTACTTTAGCGCATTTTAAAAAGTCTTATATTGAACAATATTTGCGATTAACTAATTTGTTTATTAATTGAAATGCTCACAAATCCATAATTAGCGCGCTAATTAAAACAATAATCGACATTTTGTAGCGGATGGAAGGTAATAACAAAATATTTCAGAATTATTGTTTCAATCAAACAAAGTTCAAAAATGCGCCAAATTTGAATGAGCTAAATAGTTAATACGACTACTTTATTATATGGTGTGAGGCACGAAGCAAATACAAAGAGGAGATGGCATAAGCAACTGTGCACTGTGATTCTAACTAGGTCCTGACGTCATCACAGTGGCCGTGTCTTTACTTAGTATACCGTCAGCGTTCGTCCTGTGCGCTTATGTGTCGAAAATCGCAAATCGATGTATTTTCGTAGTATTAAGAAGAAAAGGATGAAGTGTTGTGTTTCATCGTGTAAAAACTACTCAAATAGACGCTCTGATGCTATGGACGGCATCACATTTCATTTGTAAGTAATTTTATACCTAATTTATTAAAAAAGTTCTATAAAAATCTCTGCGTCGGCTTTCAAATTTAATTAAATATATTCGACACTAAATGGTAACACTTTGTGTCATGGGAACTAAAAATATAAAGTTACGTAGAGCTCAGTATTGGTAAAATAATCATACGAAGGTGTTGAAATTTGTTTTGCATTCAGTTCTAAAGAATTTTTAATCGCTTAAATATTATTTTCATTGTTTTTATAATTATTTTGTGAACAGGCCGCCATCTATCGTCAAGGTAGCTAAACTACATTGTACTGTTTATCGGTAGATGGAAAATAGTAACGTGGGCTTAACATCCCCTCACCTCGCAAATTTTCACGAGTTGTTACATAGTGAAATCTAATTACAACATCTCCTCTTTATATTTGCTCTGTGGTGTGAGGTAACGCAGACAATGAACTAGATGGTTGCATTTAGGTTGTTAGAAGTGAGTAATAAACACATCGAACTGGTTTCATTTGGACAGGGAAAGGACCGTGGAAGACAGAGACTTAAGGATTCCAAATTCATTTGTCTTGATTAAATAAATCTCGTCATTTTAAACATATTGTATAACGGACTCCAATGATGCCGACCAATAAATTGCAAAAAAAAAAAAAAACCGCATATAATAACATCTTTAACACACGCAAATACTTAAAAATAATTCATATTACACATAATAATTACCACAAACAACAAACTCGCTATAAAACCTATCTAAAAACAAAAAAGTGTATAGTAAACGCAAAAAGTGCATTGTACTCAAAAATCGATTTAAGTACCTAAGTAAATATGCTCCACATAGGAATAACATTAATAAGTACCTAATGTTTTCTTTCAGACTTTGTATCAGCCTTGAAGCGATTGGCAAACGATTTGTCTTTATCAATGGAATGTCTTATAAAAGATCACATATAAAAATCCTTACGAAATATTAAAAAGCAACAATCCTAATTAATTGTCAATAACAACCTCTGATTCACTTAATATTTACTTTAGAAATATAATTACACTTTAACAATGTTAAAAGTCAGCGTAAATTCAACAACGAAAGATTTTAGTTGACCTAACCTATTCCTAGCTGCAACACTTAACTGCCGATTTTATATTATAACTATAGTAAATTCATTTATTGTGTATACGTTTGTATCAAATACTATAAGTATCTGAAGAAGGCACATTATGCCAACGCATAAATTGGTCGAAGAAGGCACGTCACGGTTTTTTTTAGTTTTTGAGCTTATTGTCATTTTTAGTTACCCTGTTAAAACATTTATTAAGCAGTCTTAGTAAAAGCATCTAAAATTCATATATTGAATGCTACACAATGTAAAAGTAAACTACAACATTTTGTAGAATTTGAAAGAACGTGATTTTTACATCTATCAATGATCAAGGCGCATATACAAAATGGCGCGCGTACGTTATCAAACTGTTTTAGACGCCCGGATAGTATTGATAAGTAGGGAACATAGATAACGTAGCCGGGAAGGGGGACGTCATTGACGGTGGGAGGGCAGCCGAGAGGGCCGTACCGTAACCGCTCGGGAGGGCCGTCGGTATTGCTGTCGGGAGAGCGTTCGCGTAAGACAACATCGGACTAGTGTTAGCATATGAGAAGATTGGCGCCGAAGTACCATAAGAGAACACGGGTAACGATAACGGTGCCATTTGCGGCGGTACGGAGTAGGGCCGTTTGGCGGGTGTCGTGTCCGTTTGACTGAAAGCGCGCTCGTAAGTCCGTTTGGTTGGTAGCATCGTCTGCTGCGGCAGGATGGGCAGGGAGTAAGTGGGCGCGGGTTGCGGGCGCGGGTAGGACAGGAGGGGCAGCATGGGCGGGCGCAGGGACGCCAGCAGCAGGTTCTCGTGCTGGCGCGCCAGCAGGCTCTGCTGCGCGATGTGGTGCGCCAGCAGGCGCGGCCCGGCCGGCGCGCCCAGCGCGGGCAGCGGGGGAGACATCAACGTACCCGGGGACACCACCTTCGGCGACGTGGCGCCCGTCACTCCGCCCGTCAGCACCAGGTTCATGTCGTCGCCCGAGCACTGGAACACCTGGGGGAAAAGGTTTCGCACTCCGTCTCAGCATCTTATCTATTTGAGACTGCGATCAACAATATACTAGATATGGAATACAATTTTTTTTTAATTTTTAATACTTATTGGCCATATTATTTACTTTATAAATTAATCTTGATTGATATGAAAACGATGCCACCAAATGGATATTAAAAGAAAGACAATCGTTTATGGGCCCACTAGAAATTTTAACGTAACTTAATTTTTTATGTGTAATAAACATAAAAAATATATCAATTTATTATAGTAAACAGCCTAACGATTTTATGAAAATCTAACCGGAATTATGAAATCTGAAAATAAAAGAATTGTTTTGACGTTCTAACTAATGTGTGTTAATGCGTGTTACGGACAGGAGTATGAAAGTCCTCAATAGCTTGCTTTTACGTTGATACTAGCGCCATCTCATAGGCACCAAGAGCACTACACAATGTTTAGACATTTTATTCAAGAGATAGTGCCACAACCGACATTTATATCATTTAATATTTCAATAAATAAAAAAAAAAGTTTTTATTTTCATGTAAATACTGTAATATTTTGTACATGTATAGCTAGGGGTATAAAAGTCCTGATTTGCTGGCTTTTACGATGATACTAGCGACATTAAGGGGCTACTCCATGCGAACGACCTTGACCATTTTGCCGGCGGCACGTCGCTCGCTTCAATATATTGCTTATTTGAAATATGTACGACGCCACCACCTATTGTAGGTACGAACGTAGTATTATTTTTTCAACATCAATGAACTAATTTATGGAAATACGCACAGCGTACAACGATAAATGTATTTTAATTTTTTTATTCGGTATATTAGTTGCATTATATTAGAATTATGTATTTTCATATATTATCTAATTATGAAATTTTATAATTAATTATATATTAAAAATGAAGCATTGAAAATTGTGAGTTTAAAAGATACCTATTCACTATAGGTAAATAAATAGATAGCTCACCTTTTGTACAAATATTTGGTGCAATAAAGAATAAATAAATAAATAGGATGTTTCGTAGATGTGTTTTTGATTATTGTTAATTTTTACGTGTCACGTATTGAAAAGTAATATACCTACCTACTAATACAAAAATCAACAAGAAGTATAAGGGTTCAATCTTTCAATTTCAATTGTAAAAAAACGTTACCCCCACACTAGGATTTTCTCCTGTGTCGTGGAGGCAGTTTACAAACATAAATTGCACAAGGACAAACATCCAGACCCGGAACAATTATTTGTAGGCCATACAAATATTTGTTCCGTGCGAGATTCGAACCCGCGGCCCCCAGCGCAACAACTGATTGCTAAGCCACTACGTCACGGAGCCGTCGCCGGGTTATAGCTAAAGTGACCATACGTCCCGTTTTGAACGGGACTGTCCCTTTTCTCGGTCACCTGTCCCATTGTCCCCAAACAAAGCTCTGGGACACAAAATTGTCCCGTAACTCGTTGGATGGAAGTATTCAAAGTCAACAATCTTCAACATAATTTTTTTTAATCGAATATATTTTATGTCTACCTGGTACGAATGCTCCGCTAGAAAGAGTATTTATTTATTTTGAATAAATTGTGGACGTCTGAAAGAAACACTTACGGTTCCAGAGTTCTAAAGGCGATGTTGTTAACAAAGATAACAATAAAAAAACTTGAGCAGAATCTTATTTTTATTTAAAATCATCCCCAACTTTATTAAAGCAAATTTAATCCACTGACAAATGTAATTAATAATTTAAAAAAATATGTTGCATTTAATAATTACCGTCTTTTTTTTTTTTTTATAGGAGAGGGGACAAACGAGCATGCGGCTCACCTGATGGTAAGTGACTACCGCCGGCCATGAACAACTGCAACACCAGGGGAATCGCAGATGCGTTGCCGGCCTTTTAAAAAGGAGTACGCTCTTTTCTTGAAGGTCCCTAAGTCGTATCGGTCCGGAAAAATCGCTGATGGTAATCGATTCCACAAGGAGGCCGTGCGAGGAAGAAAACATCTCCTAAATCGCACAGTGGTGGACCGCCAATCATCCAGATGGTGTGGATGGTATCGGGAGTTCTGCCGCGATGTGCGTTCGTGAAATTTGGCGGCTGGGATTAATCCGAACAATTCCTCAGAGCACTACCCATGGTAGATGCGAAAGAAAATGCAAAGGGATGCAACATCTCTTCGCAGTGCCAATGAATCGAGCCGATCGGAAAGGGCTCGGTCGTCGACAATTCGAGCCGCTCTGCGTTGGATGCGGTCAAGTGGAAGGAGCTGGCACTGAGGAGCCCCTGCCCAGAGATGGGAACAGTATTCCATGTGAGGCCGAACTTGCGCCTTGTAAAGTAGCAGGCGGTGTGCCGGCATGAAATACGAGGGTGGATTGAAAAGTACTCGGCCTAACACAGATCCATTCAATTCTAAAAATCAAATCTACCCACATTATTTAGTTCAGTTCAGACTAGTTCATTGTGTGAAGTTCGAAACGTGTGCGATAATTAGTTGTGATTTTATAAATTTATTAACAAAGTAATCGGACATAATTTCCGCGAATGGAGCAAATCGAGCAGCGTGCCGTCATTAAGTACCTCCATAAGACGGGGCTATCATCAAAAGCCATCCATGATGACATGGTCAGTACATTAGGCGATTGTGCTCTGTCATATTCATCCGTCAAAAAATGGATAACAGAATTTAAGCGTGGTAGAGAGAGTGTGAAAGATGAACCCCGCTCTGGAAGGCCTTCGACGTCAACTACTGACGAAAATATTAAAAAAGTACTTGATTTAATAATGGGAGACCGCAGATTAAAAATTAGAGAGATAGCCGAGATTATAGGCATCTCTTATGAACGAACTCAAAACATCATTGTCAACGAGTTGGGTTTCCACAAGGTGTCTGCGAGGTGGGTTCCGCGACTGCTTTCAGTTGAACAAAAAAGGACGCGATTGACTATTTCACGCGACTGTTTGGAGTTATTTGAAGCCGATGCAGATGATTTTTTGAATCGTTTTGTTACTATGGACGAAACATGGGTTCATTACTGTACACCGGAAACAAAACAACAATCAAAACAGTGGAGAAGACCTGGTTCACCACCCCCTAAAAAGGCTAAGTCGATTTTGTCGGCAAATAAGGTGATGGCTTCAGTATTCTGGGACTCGAAAGGTGTGATTATGATTGATTATCTTGAAAGGGGTCAGAATATAAACTCTGATTACTACTGCACCTTACTACGTCGTTTACGAGAGGAAATAAAAGAAAAACGTCGAGGAATGCTCAGAAGAAAAGTCCTGTTTCATCAAAATAACGCCCGTGTTCACACGTCAGTACAGTCAATGGCTGAAATTCACAACTGTGGCTTTGAACTGTTACCGCATCCGCCGTATTCACCTGATCTGGCACCATCAGACTTCTTTCTGTTCCCTAACCTAAAAAAGCACTTGGGAGGTCAAAGATTTTCGACAAACGACGAGGTCAAAGCAGCTGTAGACGCATATTTTGACTCTAAGGAAGAATCATTTTTTTTCAACGGTCTAAATGCTTGGAAGGGGAGGTGGCAAAAGTGTATTGAACTTGATGGTGATTATGTAGAAAAATAAAAATATAACTGATTTAGTATTTGTTTATTTTCTTGGTTAGGCCGAGTACTTTTCAATCCACCCTCGTACTGTCCCGCTCTGCTGAGCACGCCAAGCTTTTTAGAGGCCAATTTGGCCTTCCCTTCCAAGTGACCACGAAACTGCACGTCACTCGATATGTCGAGTCCGAGGATACCGATACTGGCTGAGGCAAGAAGGGGAGTGCCTTGAAACTGAGGAGATACGACAAAGGGGTTCTTTTTAGCGGTGAACGCGCAAACTTGTGTCTTCTGAGGATTAAATTGGACTAGATTTAGTCGCCCCCAATCCGAGACTTTGTTCAGCAAAGACTCGACTTCAGACACAAGTTTGTTCCGGTACTCAGCGACGTTTTCCCGAGAAATATTGGCACGGCCGGTGTATAGAGCATCACCAGTGCTGTCATCCGCATAGCAATGAATGTTACCAGTTAGCAACATATCATTGATATGCAGAAGAAACAGCGTTGGTGATAGCACACAGCCTTGTGGAACACCAGCGTTAATAGGCTTGTAGTCAGAGCATGCACCGTCTACAACGACCTTGATGCTCCGATCTGCAAGGAAGCTGGTGATCCAATTGCACAATTTCTCGGGAAGCCCATAGGAAGGGAGCTTCGAAAGAAGCGCTTTGTGCCAAACCCGATCGAAGGCCTTCGCAATGTCCAGACTAACGGCCAACGCCTCCCCCTTGGACTCTACTGCCTCCGCCCATCTATGGGTCAGGTAGACCAGAAGATCACCAGCTGATCGACCCCGACGAAAACCGTATTGGCGGTCACTAATCAGCTGGTGATCCTCAAGGTACCGGATGAGCTGGCAGTTAATAATGGATTCCATTATTTTGGAGAACAAGGAGGTGATCGCGATAGGCCTATAGTTGGATGGGTCTGAGCGGTCGCCTTTTTTAGGGATCGGGTGGACAAAAGCTGTCTTCCATGAATTCGGGACTACGCCTTGGGAGTAGGAGTACCGGAAAAGACGCGTTAGGACCGGCGCCAACTCCGGAGCACACGTCCTCAGCACAATTGGGGGGATTCCGTCAGGCCCACTCGACTTCTGGATGTCCAGGGAGAGCAGTGCTTTGCGAACCGAGCGCTGTGAGAACAGCACATCCGGCATGGAGCACTCACACCGCGGGATGGTCGGCGGTGTTTTCCCCCCGTCATCAAGAGTCGAGTTGGACGCAAAAAGGGAGCCTAAAAGGTCGGCTTTGTCTTTTGCGTCATGGGCCAGTGAGTCATCCTCCCTGTGCAGAGATGGTAGTGATGGCTTACAGAAATTCCCTTGGACAGCCTTGGCGAGAGACAAGAATGCACGGGTTCCCGAAGGAAGGCGAACTAGTTTCTCGCCAATTCTGCCTATGTGCTCTGACTTTGCCTTGGCAATAACTCTTTTGAAGGACCTGGAGGCGAAGTTATACTTCTTTTTAAGTGTGCTGGTATTTACATCCCGAGTCGCCGAAGCCGCAGCCCAGGCTTGATAACACTCCTGCTTACTGCGTAATGCAGTCTTACAGGAGCGACCAAACCAAGGCTGAGATCTGCCTCCGATGGGTACCACAGATGATGGAATAAATAGTTCCATTCCCTGTAGCACCACATCAGTGACAGAGTCAGCAACAGCGCTGGGATCATCCGGCGAGAAGCAAACCCGCCCCCATGGGTAGGATGCAAAGAAGGACCGCATTCCGTCCCAATCCGCCGACCTGTAATGCTAAACACGGCGGCAACCTGCAGAACGCAACCGCGAAGGGAGCGTGAGTGGCACCACACTCCGGATCAGACAATGGTCCGAAGAGCCGAGAGGGGCATCGACGGAAACCTGATATCCGTCCGGATGAGAGGTCAGCAGAAGGTCCAACAGGGAAGGTGTATGACCCTCCACATCTGGAATCCGCGTAGGTGAAGTAACCAGTTGTGTCAGACCATATGCCAAGGCAAAGTCATAAACAGATCTCCCCGCATGATCGGTTAGACGTGAACCGAGCCATTCGGCATGGTGGGCGTTAAAATCGCCAAGGATCACGATCTCTGCGGATGGGACCTGTTGTAGCAAGAAATCTGTAGCCATTTGGACGTGGTCGATGAGTCGGTCTGTTTCGGCATTACCGCTATGGGACCTATAGAGGCACCCGTAGACGCGCGGATGGTCGTCGCTGTCTACGCGTAGCCAAAGGATGGACAGGTCCGAACCTTCAAGACTGCCGAGGCGTCGAGAACAGATGTCCTCTCTGACATACACGCAAACTCCAGCCCGAGGCACAAAGGAATGCTCCAATTTGTACCCCGGGTAGGAGAGATACGAAATATCAGCCGGAGAGGAAACCTGCGTCTCGGTCAGAAAGAGCAAGGCCGGCTTCGCCGTCTCGAGATGGTAGTGGACGGCGTTTAGGTTAGAGTGAAGTCCCCTGATGTTGCAGAAATTCACGGATAGCGTGGCAGGGGTCGCCTTGGTGTTCTTGCTCAGTTTGCCCCTAGCAGTAATGCTTTTGAGCGGAATTTTGCCCCCCCCCAGAATACGCGGGGCAGCCTGAGCACCCACGCTCAGGATCGGAATAACATGGTCGTGGATGCTCAGCGAGGGGAATTGGGGGAATTGGGCCTCCGGCCACCTGCACTCACCAGACGAAACGCAGAAGCAAAGCTTCTACTTCACGCCGGTATTCTGTGAGGTCGTGGTACCAACCCGGCTCGAGCCGGCCCATACATGCAACAGCAAAAACTGCTGCGTGGCTCTACCACCGTATAAATAAACCCATGTCCTGTTTTGAGTTAAAAAGTAAATGGTCAGTTTAGTCTTTTTAGTTAAATTTAGTTTTAAAAATTTTTAGTTAATAGTAAAAAGTAGGTATATTAGTACCTACTTAGATACTTTTTACCGAATTATAAGTATAGAACACCTTATTTACTCAATTATTTTTTGAAGAAAAAACAAGTAATAAATAATATACTATATTTTAGCAAAAAACTATAACTTAGTAATACTAATTATAACTTAGTACATAAATTAAAAACTCATAACTGACTTTTTGGCCCGACGCAGGATTCGAACCCGGGACCTCATGATCTGCAAGTCGCATTACTACAACCACTAGACCAACGAGGCAGTACTATACTTAATAAGATATTGTGGTTGGGTGATAATATTGAATTAGCCTTTTATAATGTAAATTATAATATTTGTCGAAATTTTAATTATGGATTCGAACCTTACATGCTAATGGTGATTCATTTTTTTATTTGCATTTACTTCAAAGAAAATACACGCAAAAAGCTTCATCGCGCAGTAAAAAACACAACAAATATATGTATAACTAATACGAAAAATTATACCCAAAACAAACAAATAATACTACCTATAAATGACCTAATAAGTAATAATATTATAATATTATCGACTGATAAGATGACGTGAGGGCACACGGCGCTGGCAGACGCTCTAACGACACGGGTTCCACGTCGAAGAGCTCAGGGCTCACTGACTTCAGCAAGCCCGTGAGCAGTGAATACGCCCAGATTTTAAAATAATTTCTTAATAAAATCAAATTTTGGTCTTTTGAAAAAAATTTTACTATAGAAATGTTCATTAATAAATTGCCTATCCATTGGTGTAAATCGCAAAATAAAATAATACTTACTTTACGAGGAGATGCATGTTATCAATAATAATTTCACATTTATGTGGTTTCGTTGTAAGGAGATTATATTAATATTTATTCCTTTAAAAAAAAATTGGATATAGCTTTTATGGAATCAAGATTATGTAGAAATATAATGTGTTTTTTATTTGTTGATATATCTCTTAAATAAAAAGTAGATAGCTCCTAAAAATCGCACAAATAACGACTAACGCGACATTTTGCTCAACCTGCGCCTTAAGAGCACTATCTTCCCCAATGTTTTTACAAATTTTTATTAAAAAGATTTTTAGAGGTTTATTATTTAATCATAAATCACATTCATATTTCATTTATTAATTTCTCAGTATTCCCGTTAGATACGGGAAAACTAATATTACTTTTGTAATCCATAGGTAATAAGGAATAAATCGACACGTATTTCATTAAATTACACCACAGTTTATGGTGGACCCATAGTCCATACGAAAATAAAACGTCTCCTTTGTCCAGTTACATTTTAAGTAGACGTTATCTTGTTGTATATTGTTGATCAACTCTAGTAGAAATCACTCAGACCAATAAATAAAGGCAAACGGAGCACTGCGTCCATTTTAAATGATGCAATGCTCAACTTCTTGACACGCACTCGTGCATATTTTTCTTCTTTTTTGATAGACTGTATAAGTTTATTTTTTATATATAAATAAGAAGGGGCAAACGAGCATAAGTCTCACTTGATGGTAAGTGACTACCGCCGCCCATGAACAACTACAACACCAGGGGAATTGCAAGTGCGTTGCTGGCCTTTTAATTTACTCCTGGACGCACACACATGAACCTACAAAACTATGTTGTTAGTTACAAATTATTTTAGATGCACATTTGTGCGTGAGTGCGTGTTATTACAATAAGTCGAATAAGGTTTTGGCTTTGTTTCCGCATAACTTGAAATGTACGCAGCGCTCCATTTATCTTTTTTGAATGGTCTGACAATGGACACTTAAATGGTCTACAATGAAGCATTTACAAGTTCTTAGCATATCTGGCTAACTACATTACGATTCTTGGCTTCTATTTAGTCAGAAGTTAGGTTTTAACATGGTAGAGCCATGCTGCATGTATGCTAGCTGTACATAGCTGCAACACGAATGATGAACGACGAACCATTCGTACTGCAAACATGATGTAGCCACAGCTTCGATCTAGCTCTACCACGTTGAAAATATATCGCAAGGTACCTCAATATACCGCTGCTTCTTGCCGAAGGTCATGTAGCGGTGATGCTTCTGTTGCGCACAGAGGTAAGCGCTGGTCTCACTGTCCATTTGGATGAACGCTTCACCGCTAGGGTGGCCCTGTTTGATATAAATAAAAAAAAACATGCATGAGTAACGTAGAACGTCGTTGGATCGAAGTTCCTTTCGTAGTATATTATTATTGATAAACGTATTATATTATTGATTAACAACTACAAATAAATGAATTACTAGCGTCTATGAAAATGAAGCGTCATTTAAAATAAAATAATATTTCTTTCATGGCAAGATAAGAAAAAGTGCGAGGGAGATGGATATTATTCCATCTTGCTCGCACTATACGAGAAAGGTCTCGTAAGAAAGGGGGTCGTGACAGAAAAATCTTTTTCTCGCCTAGCCCCCGTCCGTCAAATTTGTACCATACGAAAAGGAACTTTATTTCAAAAAAGGGTAAAATTTATTTGTATTTACTAATTTGTTATCATTTTTTTATAGGATAAAGGTGACAAACGAGCACACAGTCCGCCAGATGGTAAGTGGTTGCTGAGGCCGCATAGACATCTACATCTAACGTCAATTACGAATCAAAATTCAGATGCGTTGCCACCCGTGAGGACTAAGATGGAATACCCCGTTTCCAATTAAAAGGTTATCTGGTTCTCTACACTCACCAGACGAAACATAGTAGCATTGAGCTGTTATTTTACGCTGGTATTCTGTGAGAGCGTGGTCCTTCCCCAGTCGAGCCGACACAACTTCATTGTGAGGAGGATTTGCCGTAATTAAATGTCTTAGTCAATTGATTTCGATTGCATATAAACGTAATAGTTATATTGACATTATAAGAATTAGTTGAGATATTTTATGTCACCAGTCACCACCACACAGCGATTAAACATTAAAATTATTAAGGTCGAGATATACCTTGGTTAAGTTGATAGTTTTTTAGTCTGGTTGTGCGTGATACGAGTGTGTTACCTGCATCTCACTTCAAATCTTATTGCATAAACGAAAGAGTTATTATTGTATTATACAGGTTAAACAAGTTAATGTATCTCTGGCTGTAATATCTTTTATAAAATTAATGGACAGTTTACTGCGTAATCGAATACGACTGTCGTGGTCGGCGATCCGCTTCCAATGGTAGAAATCGACTCCAGTGGTCGAAATCAACTCTAGTGGTCGGAATCGACTCCAGTGCTCAGAATCGACTCCAGTGGTCGAAATCGAATTCATTCGTCGAAATCGACTGCCGTGCTCGAAATCGACTCCCGTGCTTGGAATCGACTCCACTGCTCGGAATAGAGTCTATTGGTCGGAATCGCCTTCCGGACCTTCCGGCCTTCAACATCAATTATAACCTCAAACCTATTCAATTTGAATATAATTGTAATTTATAAATGGTAAGTAACATTATTTCTAATGATACATAGAAGACAATGGTTTGTTATATTTAAGATATAAAAATATTTTACGTACCTGAGCATTGTATACCATGTGGACGCCTTGTACAACAATGTTCTTTGCGAACTCGTCCAAGAATGTCAAAATGTGCTCCACCTGTTGCCAACGTTACGGTTTAAAGCTATTTTAAATATATTAAGTTTATTGACCAATTTGTGTAAAATTACTACTTTTTTTTTCATAGGATAAGGGTAACAAACGAACACACAGTCCACCTGATGGTAAGTGGTTGCTGCGGCCCATAGACATCTACATCTATCCTCTATTACAAATCAAAATGTAGATGCGTTGTCACCCGTGAGGACTAATATGGAATGCCTCATTTCCAGTAAAAAGGGCCTCCGGCCACCTGCATTCACCAAGCGAAACGCAGAGGTAAACCGCTACTTCACGCTAGTTTTCTGTGAGGTCGTGGTACCACCCCGGTTCGAGCCGGCCCATCCGTGCGATAGCAAAAGCTGCCGCGTGGCTCTACCACTGTTAAAACTACTGTTAAAACTAATTTTATACTAATTATTTTATCCTTAAATCTTGCTTCTAAAATAATTTGAACTCTAGAATGCAATAAATGAGACAGATGAGAGAGCAAGTAATCATTTCAATATGAACTTCAATTTAAAGCAGCTAAAACTATTATTTTCTTTTTTATAAGATAATATATTAAAGCAGTGGTTCATGAGGATATGTCCATATATTTGATTGAAAAATCAGCTCTAAGAAGGATAATGGAAAACGTTATAAAAACTAAGCCATTATCATAATAGAATCTTGTTTCCACACTTACCTGGGCTTCATAAGGCAATCCGCGCAGTCTGACACAGTCTTTAGCCGTGCCGGAAGTGATGACGTGTTGCGGCACCAGCGCCACCGGAAGTATTCCCTCGGCGGGCGCGGGCGCCGCTGACGGCGTACTGGCCGTGCTGGTGCGCGTCTCTAGAGACCGGTTCAAAACCTGCACGAAACACGAATAAAGATTCGTTTAGGACAAATTTCATAGCTATGAGCCGGCTTAAAATGTATAGAACGACAAAAACGTAGACAATGACGGTATTATAAGCTTCAATCACGCGTCGAAATTATAAGAAATCACTGTGGCTATGATATTTAAATATCTATTGCTTTATTACTGCATTTAGCGGAAAATTTTACCTATATAATACGTAAAACGAAAGTTATGATTCGTTAAACTACTCAAGAGAAATGTCTATCTAATAAGGTTTACAAGGAAAGTGTAATAAATGTTTATAAGAAAAATAATAACATAAATAATAAATATTATGTTCCTAAACTAAAAAGTCAGTGGACATTATGTAAAATGTCTTTACCCAACAACTCACCATTTACTCACGAGAGCAGGCTGCGGACATAAGAGGTGTAATTTATCTGGAATCGTTCTAAATTGCCAGGTAGTTTCTCACGACAAACTGCCTGGCAATTTAGAAGTAAACGCTATTCATTTATTTTAACCATTTAATGTCCATGCGGTTATGATGTTGTATAATAAATTGACATAAATAATACACACATCTAAAAGCAATATCACTACGAGTTTTTACTATTAACTATATTTTTTTCTTCAATATTAAATGAAATATATTAAAAATAAAATAAGTTTTTTTTATAGGATAAGGGTGACAAGCGAGCACACAGTCGAAACGAAACACAGCAGCGTTAAGCTGCTATTTTACGCTGGTATTCTGTGAGAGCGTGTTCATTCTCAGGTTGAGCCGACCCATTCGTGCTACAACTATACTATTAATATAGCTGCAGCATAATTCTACCACAAAATATGTAATAATTAGGAAACAATATACATTTTTTATTTACTATGTGGTAGAATCACTTTCCTTTTACCTATTTACATCTGTACATCTACATGCTACATCCGTAGCCTTTTTATTTGAAATTGTCTGCAGTGTTCCAGAACTGCAGTAGCCACTTACTATTGGGTAGACTAAATTCGTTTGTCACTTCAGTTTTACAAAAAAATATGTAAAAAACTCTTATGGCATATTAATATTACTTGAGGCCATCTATACAAATAATCTGTTTCACAGACAACAATATGTATTCTTTGTCTAAGCTGTTCCACTATTGATATCATAATTAAGTTTAATACAATGCAAACTATTGTTTTGCATGCAGGTTTCTGGATGATTTATCTCAGAATAGAGTTTTTTTCCAAACCAGTATAAACAATCCGCACGAGTATGTTAGGGCTGAATCTGAATGACAGGGTGAGAAATGGTGTGATAAGAGAAGAGTGTGGTTTGCAAGATGATGTTGTAACCAGGATTAAGAAAGGAATGCTTCTTGGGTTGGTCATGTAGAATGAATGAATGAGGAAAGAGTGACAAAGCAAATCTGTATAGCAGATGTGAACGGCAGAGTCGGGAAGGGACGCCTTAAGACTTAGACGAAAGATTACCGACCAAATTGGCGATATATTGAAAAATAGGCCAGATTACGAGTACGTTTCACCGACGAGCGTAGGTATATGGATGTAAAGGAGGCGAGAGAGGTGTGTCAGGATCGTGCCAAATGGAACTCCATAGTCTCTGCCTACTCCTCTGGGTGACAGGCGTGAGTGTTACTGTTTATGTTTATGTAATATGTAAATGTATAAATATCATCAAGTAATATTGTTCTCTATTTATTTATTTTTGGTCGTTTGAGGTGAGATGTCTGATACTGCAATCATGAGATGCGATTGAGGAAAAGTCCCCCTTCCCCCCAATGAAAGATGAAAAGCCTCATATCCATCAGTGGATTTTAAAGGGCTGATGCAGAGAAACACCTTCTAAAGGTACAGTGGGCGGATGGACTTAGGCCTCATGCCCACGAGACAGTTTTTCGCAGGAGCTAAGCCCGGCGTAAACCGGGAACACGTCCGGTCGTCAGTATTGTATGGGACACTATGAAGCCAATCACACGACGCCGACACTATCGCCGGCTCACCGCGCAGCCGGGCACGGTGGTGCTCGCCTTCATGAAACCGGGTCGTATACAAACCGTCCTGTGTGCAAGCTCGGACGGTTTCTACCTGGCGCCGACAAAAAACCGAACCGCGTTAAAACCGTCTCGTGCGCAGAAGCCCTTATGGTCTTTTTGTATTCTTTCTTAGGTAACCAACCCCGGGTAAGTAAAAAAAATGTGACAAGAGCTAAAAATTACTTACGAGGGTGCGTTTTTAAGTACGCGGAATGGGGGGTAAGGAGTGGAAATAATAATCCAAATTTATCTTTCCTTTTCAATATAGTCTCGTGCGCAGAAGCCCTTATGGTCTTTTTGTATTCTTTCTTAGGTAACCAACCCCGGGTAAGTAAAAAAAATGTGACAAGAGCTAAAAATTACTTACGAGGGTGCGTTTTTAAGTACGCGGAATGGGGGGTAAGGAGTGGAAATAATAATCCAAATTTATCTTTCCTTTTCAATATATTCACCTGCTACCCTAATACATTTTTCGGATCTTTCAATTAACTTATGTATGCCCTCAAAAATAAATTTGTCTTTGTCTAAAAATACGCCGAAACTGCTTTCTTCATTTCTTCATCACTTAAAACTTTTTCCTACGAAGTTCTTTTTATAAGTTTGGAAATAGATAATAATCACTGGGGGCTAGGACAGAACTATAGGGTGGATGTGGCAAAATTTTGAATCCCACCTTCTGCAGGGCAGCCATCGTAACATGGCACTTGTGAACAGGCGCGTTGTCGTGCAGAAGAAGGATTCATTTGGTCAATTTTCCCCTTCTTCTCCCCTTTAAGACTTCCTTCAATTGTTCTAGGATTGAAGCGTAGTAATTTTCGGTTATGGAGACACCTTTATCTTCATAATTAATCAATAGGATTTCTTCTGAGTCCCATAAGACTCGCCATGATTTTCCCAACCGGCACCTAAAATTTCTTGGGTGGTGGTGTGTCTTTTTTGTACCACTGCACAGAGTCCTGTTTGGACTCAGGTTCATAATGGTGAACCCAAGTTTCGTCACCAGTAGCAATTCGAGCCAACACTCCACGTTTGTCTTCCATACAGAGGTCCAAAATGCACGAGAACACTCCACGCGCTGTTGCTTTTGTGGCGACGTGAGCATTCTAGGCACCCATCTTGCGTTAACTTTGGTGATGCCAAGATGGTCATGAAGAATTTTGAAAATGGTTGTATCTGATACTCTAACCATTTCTGCGAGCTGTTTTTTCTTTAGGCGGGCATCTCCTAATATTAATTTTTCGACTTTTTGAATAATTTCCGAAGTGATCACCGCGATCGGCCTTCGTAGCCGTGGGTCGTCTTCAAGTGACTCTCTGTCTTGTTTAAAAAGGGTATGCCACTTGTAAACCATAGTTTTACTTTGACAAGAGTCTCCGTAAACGGATGACATCTCTTCCAGTATAGTCGGAACTGATTTTCCGCGTTTGGTAAGGAACTTTATAACGACACGGAACTCTATTTTCTCCATATTTCACAATTTCTTACCGATTGACTTGTTTGGTTGACGATAACTCAAATACTAATGATCAAATTACAATAAAACCCGGTATTTATACTAATAATTAGTTGCTCAATTAGCACGTAATTCAGCGACATCCTCACTTATTACCTACCTACCCATTCCGCGAATTTAAAAACGCACCCTCGTACTAAAGCAAAATGTATTAACTAGATAAAAGGTTATACGAGTATAAGACAAAAAAGAGGTTTTTAAATTGATCCATTGATTGATAAGTTTATCTGTAAAGAAAATAAGCGGTCATAGCACAAGGAACGGTTAAGTTAAACAACAATCTACGGTAAGTAGTATAGTTATTACGTGATTTTACTGCCACAGATAACATTGTTTCCTGAGCACGAAACTAGGCTATAAAAATAACAAAATTATATTATGTACTGTACATATTATGTATGTGCCTATTTTTATTTACTTGCCTTAAATTTAATGTACCATGTAGTATATTTCAATTTGATATTGAATTTATGTCAATTATGATTATTATTTGGTAGAAATTTGGCTGGATTATTTGGTAGGAATTTTACTGGATTATTTGGTAGATAGTTAGAAGGAATATGTGGTGGGGGTTTCTGAAATTCTAAGGTAGTCTTCTAAGTAGAGTAATTTGAATATGGTTCACGTTTATCTTTGTATTGTCTAGAATGTTATGTTTTTCGGTGGTAGAGTTCAAGAGCAATTTATGATTCAAAAGCCTAAAGAGTCGCTGCGGCTAAAATTTATGGAAATTAATATATTAACTTTGGCCTCTCAATACACTTTTTTTATGTTGTATTTTTTTAAAAAGTAATTTATTTTTGGGGCGATGTATACGCTTTTACAACAAAATCCTAGAAAATATACAAAATTTGACCTGTTGAAAGTTTAAAACCTTTATTAAACTAAGTTTGTATAAAAAGGGGTATTATAATATTAAGGAATTTATGAATGATAATAACCCCTGGGAATGAGGTGATCGCTACCAAGCTATTTCTAATTTGTTTTGTGTCGTTAATTATGTAACATACATGATTGTAAGCTGATATTTAAAAAAAAGTCCCGCTGGGTTTCTTGCTGGTTCTTTCCAGGACAGAGGATTTTTTTGAGAATCAATGGTAATTAGACAAAAGAGTGACTATAATATGTACAAAAGAAACATCCAATTTTGTAGTGTTCCTAATGTTATGCACAAGAATGTATTATCACCATCACCAATACATCCTATCAAAAGTCCATTGTTGAACATTGGCCTCCCTTATAGATTGCTTCATAGTGGGGAATACTTGGCACTGTTGGCACGCTTGTCAGGTGGGTTGGCGACGCAGTTTTTTTTTTATTAAACTTTTGAGTTTTTATCAGGAAAGCAATAATATACTAGTTAAAGTGTTGGCATAAGTGCACAGTACAGTACAAATTCAGTGTGGCGGTTGTGGCAAATTTTCCAATTTTAGGCCATTGGTTGGACTATTGTTGGCCATTTCATGTCGATGAACGATAGTCGAATATTGACGGGCTGATGAGGACAGGAATGAATAATCGTTTAAACTGTAAAGAAGTAAATGTGACATTAAAGCTACTCCACACACCTGTTGTACTTCAGCAGTGGTCGACCTGAACAGCTCGATGTATCTCGCGCCGATCAGCTTGCGATGTCTTGAGAGGGCCTTTGGGGCGTCCTCCTCTTTTGAGAAGAGGACAAACGCGTCACCTGTAGCTCTGCCGTCGGCCCTCCGTACAAATAGAACTCCTTCTAATCCATCCAACACTTGTACGGGATCGTCACCGGTCGAGAAGAAGTCCAGCTGTCGAATTATAATAATAATAATAATAAATGAACATTCGATCGATTAAAGAAAAACATAACGGAATTATTTTAAGTCTTAAATATTTCAACTTAAACTTTGCATACAAATTATAAAATCGGAAGGAGCAAAAAGACAGCTCAAGCTCATTGTGATGTGAAAATCATTAAAGTCATACAATTATTATGTCAATGTGTGAACATATACACATAATAATTTCCCCATAATAGCTTTAGAGGTCAGTCCTGATACATGCGAAAATTATATATTTATTTATACGTAGTAGAGCCATGCTGCAGCTATATTAGTAGTATAGTTGTAGCACGAATGGGTCGGCTCGACTGGGGAAGGACCACGCTCACACAGAATACCAGCGTAAAATAGCAGCTCAATGCTGCTGTGTTTCGTATGGTGAGTGTAGAGAATTGGAGACCCTTTTTACTGGAAACCAGGCAATCCATCTTAGTCCTCACGGGTGACGACACATATGCATTTTGATTCGTAATTGAGGACAGATGTACACGTCTATGGGCCACAACATTCACTTACCGTCAGGTGGACTGTGTGCTTGTTTGTCACATTTATCCTATAAAACCTTTTTTATCAGTAATGTGTAGTATGTAAGACACTCACAACTTGCTGTGGGGTTGCATCGTACGGCAGTCCCCGCATACGCACTATCACATGCGCGCCTCGCGACAGGAATGCGGCCGCTTCGCAGGTCGCCCCTCCCGCAACCGACAGAAAATCTTCACCACTCGCCCGGTATACCTGGAAATTTATTACCCTATAATAATTTCTAGATTTTTCCAATTAATTTAATAAACACAGTGAAGAAGTGAAACTAGTATTACGTTCATAGAAAACACCGTCGTTTTTCGCGCTACTTTCAATTTAGACGACAGCTCATTACTGATAAAAATATGGGGTTAACATTTTGGAAAAAAGTTGGCATAAAATACCATAATACACATCAAGTTAGTTATTGGGTTTTTTTGTCAAAAAATTCTCAAGCAGCCCGAAGTCAGGAAGTTGGCGGTGTTTCACTCTCGTTATACACGTTTTCCTGCATCGTCAAGCACGTGGCGAATCGGAATTGCAAATTGCAATTAACAGTACTCGTATTTTTAGCGGCGGGGATCGGACCCAAGTCGCTAACGTACTATGAATTTTGTGGAGAGTGCTTAACCCCTACTACGGGCTATCATGAAAAATCCCATGGTAATCAAAACAAGATAACTATTGTATCAAAACTATTGTATCAAAACAAGATAGCGAACGCAACCATATGTATAATGTATACCGTGCAAAGATGCAATATGCGCCTTACCTCAATGTACCGCGGACCGATGTGGTGCTTGTGACGTTTGAGCGCCATGTCCCTGTGTTCCTGCGACACGAAACGCACCAGCGCTTCACCGTTGCGTCTCCCCTGCGGCGACAGGCACAGCGCTACGCCGCCTCTGATGGTCCAATAAGAATAAATTAGTCTCCGAATGGTGAATACCGTTAAAAAGGAAAGAACAACCTATTATATTATGTCTCACCTGCTGTGGACAGGCCTCATCACATTCCTGACAAAGTTTTAGACCAAGGAAGAATCAGCCGTGCCACCCTGATACGTACACTGCCGGCCAAAAGTTTAAGACCACACTTCAACAACATAATTATCTATAAATTGTAACGAAATCTCATAAGATAAATAAAAGAAATATACACATGCATATTCTATTGTTAATATCGAATATCTAAAGGAGTCATTCTTTTATTTACTTTCAAGAAATGTTGATTGCTTTGTGTGAAGGTTGGAGCAATATATCACAAGACACTATCAACAAATGGATTGCTCGTATGCCGAGACTTGTGAAAAAAGTCATAGAATGCAAAGGAGGATTTTTTGATGAAAAATTAGTTTAGCTAACTATAGCCTTTTTTAGCACGGACTGTTAATATTTCTTTACGCTTTTCAAGTATATTGATTGTCAAAAAGTGTTTTATTGGATGATTTAACAGTTTAATTAAACATTTAGTATTTTATTGAAGTTTTAATTTTTCTACTTTAATTAACGTGGTCTTAAACTTTTGGCCTGCAGTGTATTACCTAACTTCACATGTTCTCGAAGCTATTTTAAATTATAACGTAAATCAATACTTTTTTTTTAATAAACTAAACTGACAAACGAACTTACAGTCCACCTGTTGATATGTGGATAGCGCAGTCCATGGACACCTGCAGCTAACATTAAAAAAAAAAGAAAGCTACAGATGCGTTCGTCACCTTTGAGGAAAAGGATAGAATGTCTCACATTACTCGTCAGACTAGAACACAACAGTACGAGCACTGCTATTTGGTGGCAGCACTAGGTAAGAGTGGTGCCTAGCCGAGCGGACTTCAAATAAAAAAAGAATCACCTAGTAAAACTGCAGTTATCGCGGTAGGATCTAATTTAGTTTCCTCACATCCTTTTATACGTGGTTAAGCCACGGTGCAGCTATATTATGGTTGTAGCACGAATAGTGCTGCCACGATCAAGCGGACTGACCGTGGAAGGACTACGCTCTCACAGAATACTTTATATATAGGTGGTAGAGCCACGGTGCAGCTGTATTATGGTTGTGCCTTGATGTATACTAATGTGTGTTGTATAATGGGTCGGCTCGGGGTGGGACCACGCTCTCACAGAATACCAGCGTAAAATAGCAGCTTAATGTTGCTGTATTTCGTCAGTAGAATTGGAGACCCTTTTTACTGGAAACAAAGCATTCTATTTTAGTTCGCAGGAGTCACAACGCATCTGCATTCTGATTCATAATTGAGGATAGATGTAGATGCCCATGGGCCATAGCATTTACATCCATCACGACTGAGTGCTCGTTTGTCAACTTTTAGTCAATAAAAATAGAGCTTGCCCCTGACCTACCACAGGAATAATTAGTTATAAATTATTGAATAAAACAAATTCAACGGATTTTATTGCGTAGGGTATTTTGCTTAAAGCGGTAAAATTTAAAATATAAACAGGGAGAGACAGAAATACAAAAATTTAAAAAATAGTAATTCAGTCTTAATAATATGCAATATATTACCTAATACCTACCTACCTAATAACCTGAGCTTAGAAGAAGCCAGTTATTTCGATGTTACAGAAGACATTTCAAAGATTTTTAAGCAATTAAAAAAATATTACTATTTAATTAAACTACAATTTTTATTTACGTTCATCACTTAAGGTGGAAGCTCCAGGGTGGCCTGCGAAATTCAAATTTTCTTGCGTATTTTGGAATTTGCAGGCCAGGGTAAGATTGTATGTTTAACAAAATATGATTCGCGAGCGTAACGAGTATGTATTTACAGAATTATAATCATCAATACAACCGTCTATGTTCGTATAATTCCAATGTATGGCTATTTCCAGAAAAACTCATTCAAAGGAATTATACAAACTTAGGGGGTTGTATTGATGATTATAATGATTATAATTCTGTAAATACATACTCGTCACGGTCGCGAATAATATTTTATTAAACATACAACCTGACACTGACCTACAAATTGCAAAAAACGTAAGAAAATTTGAATTTCGCGGGCCACCCTGGAGCTTTCACCTTAAACTTAAAACGTTCAAACATTTTTCATGTAAAATTTTATTAGATTTTATTGTCTATTTTTTACCGTTTTTGAGTAATTGCGAAAAAACACTTGACAAATTTTTTTCAACCCTTGCCGGGAGTTGAAGACACAAAAACCTTAACACATTGTTTTTGGATCATTAAAACTACATTATATCAAAATTTATATTTTTAAAGTATTTATAATTATATATTTAAAGTACAATAACTTACTTGGCGACATTTAGGCCTCTAAAGAACTTGGCGATATCCTGGTCCGACGACTGCCAAGGTAATCCACGGGCTCTGACAATGCAGTTGCCGTCTATCTCATCGTCTTTTGAGCTGTAACAATAGAAGAACAGAATGAAATAAATGCCAACGGAAATGTTAAAGTTACAGTCTATATAACTCCCACTGCTGGGCACAGGCCTCCTCTTATTTCTGAGAGGGCTTTTAGGGCAAAGAAATGTCCGCCGCGCTGCCCCACCATCACGGCTGTTGACGACGTAAAGTGTGTGTAATGTACTCGTAATAGAATATAACAAAGTTACGATTGAAGGCAGAGTAGGATACAGTATCAGGGTTCTCGTGTTGGTTTTCGTCATTCACTGTTCGAAGCACAGTAGAATTATGCCGCTATTTCATGCTATGTTCTACACGAGTGTATCACTTCCCTGATCGTGCTGATCTTTACGCTGTTTGTTTTTGACATGAGATGGCTGTTAATGTGGTAAGAATATTGTATAGGTTTTATTTTACGGGTAAACGAGATTGATATACATTTGCCAATGTTAGCTGTTATGCGGTTATTTTTATAGTAAAGAGCAAGCCTGTTTAAATCTTCCTGGAGGAGCTGACAGTCCTTTTCTGAGTTTATATTCATATATATTTTCTTGTCGTCTGCATACAAAAGAAATTTAGCGTATTGTAAACATGTTCCTATATCATACAGGTAGGCTATATACAGGAGAGGACCAAGCAGAGATCCCTGCGGGACACCTGAAGGGACCTTGCTACAGCGTATTTGCATGTCCTATCTCCAACAATGTCTTACCTTGGAGGAAGTATATACATATAAAGGTCAACACTAGTACAACGTTGTACACATTCCTATCAATTTGATAACTTGTTTATCGCAGTCAAACGTAATAGGATAATTGGCACCAACAATAATAAATTATTACGTCATCTTCATGAATTTTTAGTTGTGTGTTGAATATTGGTCGGGTTAAGTTTTAAAATTAAATTACATAACGGCACACTTGCAAACCTTGAGGGGGCAGCAGGGGCAGATCTATATATGGGCTTTTTGGGATCAAGGGCCCTATGGATATAAAGGCCCCCCAGCCTTTGAAGACAATGGCTATATAAGCTTTAAAAATAATTATGATGTTATTGTGAACATTTTATAAGTTTTAGTGAAAATGAGGATGAGAAAATTAATTATTGATAAGAGATACATCAGTATACATCAATAAAGAAAATAGTTTTTTGACAAAATGGCTCTTAGTTTGATTACTTAGGTAGGCCCCCAAGCAGTGTTATCCCAGAGCCACACTAATTCGTGGTCCGCTCCTGGGGGGCAGGCAGAGTTCAAAGAGCAGCGAGATGTTCGGACCGCGTTTTGCCAAAAAAATATGGGCTTGGATGGAAAATAATAAAGGAGTGATATCATAACCTATTAGTCGCCTTTTACGATATGCTAGGCAAGTGGCACAGTTGACGCATTATATTTTGTTATATGTATGTCCCACTTAACATGGAGTTTGAGTTTAAAATAAAAAATACAATGTACATATATCTATATATAAATAGGATGAGAAACTATAACGTCATCAATGATGGGTATTCTACCAAACAGCTCGCAAAACGCATTACATTTAACGTGAGTGTCAACTACCTTACTGTATTGAAAGACTTCCATTAAATGCTCCTGAACTATCTATCGACTTTCTGCACGTTCGTAACGCATATACAGGGTTATTTTGCAATAATCGGCCAAATTTGCAGCTAAGGTTCAGAATAAGTAATATACCTAAGCAAATGGTGATGAAAAATTTATTGACGGTTCCGTGGCAGTGGCTTAGCAATCAGTTGTTGCGCTGGGGCCGCGGGTTCGAATCCCGCACGGAACAAGTATTTGTATGGCCTACAAATAGTTCCGGGTCTGGATGTTTGTCCTTGTGCAATTTATGCTTGTAAACTGCCTCCACGACACAGGAGAAAATCCTAATGTGGGGGTAACGTTTTTTTAAAAAAAAAAGAAGAAAAAAGTTAAAAAAATCGTAAACATTCTGTACTTTTTATCTTTTAAATTCAAAATGCGTGGTAATGTGTTATTTTAACCGATTTTACTGACCACGCACACATTCGTAAGGGTAAATTGGTAGGCAAAAACGTTGTTGCCCATAAATCACATTCAATTTGGGATAATTTCAAATAAAAGTAGAAGCCTTATTTACTCGTATTTTCAAAAATTATTATATAAGTATTTGCATTAATGTTATATCATTGTTTATATATTTAAACTTAAGTTTAAAATTTGGCTACTCTTTGAAAAATAACCATGGGTAGTTAATAATTCATACACAGTCAGATAATATACAATTCTCCTATCAAACAAAACATAAACACTGTGAGTTTCAAGATAACGCGAAGATAATCGAACTAAATTTGGTCTCTAGTTCCTCCAGACTGACCCACAAGTAGTGACCCTTAAGTTGACAGCGAAATTGTCATTCACAATTATCAGTTCGCATGCTACAAATCGTTAGCAATTAAAAGTAGCTCGTTATTTTACATAAATATTACTTTATTATGTTAGCCTTGGGTTAGAGACACGTGATTACTAGCACTAAAATATCACATAATCGTGGAAAGACTGTAAAGTTTAAGCATTGAAATATCATGTAAAAGCTATAAAAATACCGTGAGGGGACTATGCACCGGTACAACGAAGAGCGTGTTTTGTTCTTGATAAGACACATTTGTGCCATTTGCTATAGGATATAGGACTATCGGGTCCGTGGAGTCTAAGTTTCAGTAAAGGAACTACATCCGCGACTTCTCGTAGCCGCTGGCGATAAGAGGGCAGTTTCTTTTCTCGCTCAAAGGCTAAATATGTATAGTTATTCAACGAGGAAACGCAGCCAGCGTTCTTCGTACTATACCGCGAGGAGTACGACTAATGTAAAGATTTAGTTTTTTTTTTTTAAAATATTGTATACATCAATACTACGTAATTCTTAATAAGGTTTTTTTAAAACCTTGACTAAAATACTCTGACCGGCGAAGTGGTTGCGGCGTCAAAAGTTTTTTTTTATATAGAATAAGTGTGAAAAACGAGCACACAATCCACCTCAAGGTAAGTGAATGTATGGTACACCTATCCTCGATTAGGAATCAAGATGTTGTGCGTTGTCATTCTTGAGGACTAAGATGGAATCCCTCGTATCCGGTTCTCTACACTGACAGTATGATACACAGCAACATTAAGCTGCAATTTCACGCTAGTATTCTGTGAGTGTGGCCCTTTCCCTGGTCATTAGTGTTAAAACTATAATATTACTGCAGCACGGCTCTACCAGGACATCCAGTACCTACTCTTCCATTCGCAGCCAGGTGCGACGATTTAGGCTTATCCAACCCAAAAGGCGAGAGGGCCATGTCCATCAGTAGACTTACAGGCTAAAGAAGAAGAAGAAGAACAACAACAACAACAACAAAAATGCTCATTGGATATCATAGCGAAATGTAATATTATGTAACCATGTTAAACCGGCCATTTGTCCGTAAAACTGATAAGAGTTGCGAAAGAAAAATATTTGATTAAACTAACTAAACACGTCGTTGGTCTAATCGTAGTAAGTGCGACTACTGATCATGCTGTCCCAGGTTCGATTCCCGGATCGGGCAAATATCAGTTATTGGGTTTTTCTGTCAAAAAGTATTTAGTCGCAGCCCGTAATCAGAAAATTAGCGGGGTTCCACAGCCGTGCCTCGGAAAGCACGTAGGACCCGTTGATCATACGCATGTTCTCTCTACGGTGGTGTCGGACTACCGTCTAATCGGACTATGAGAGTGAGGGAACAGACAGTGCACCTGTACTTGCGCATACACTGCGGCACTGTACATCCTGGCCTGCACAATCTCCGATGAGACTGTGTGCCGTGATAGAAATTCGCTCTGAACGAAATTATCATTTTTTGAGCAAATTTCTCTTCAACTGTGGGGTGACGACAATTATGTAGAAATTATATGAAATATTTGTATAAATTATTATTTTCGGGGTATGAAGTTAAAGATGAACTTATTTTATTGCAAAGACGTTTGTAACTTTAAAGGTAAAATTTCAACCTATATAAGTCAGCACACGCCTCTCGTTTGTGTTAGGATTAATGAGCAGCGAGCAGTGCGGCCCTTGGCTACCACACTGCTTTCCAATATAGTACTACGTATTTGAGAATTGTAATCTTTATATATAAAAATTAAGTGTCACGTTGTTTGTCCGCGATGAACTCCTAAACTATTGAACTGATTTCAATGAAATTTAGCACACTGTGTGCAGGTTGATCAAACTTGAGAGATAGGATACTTTTTATGCCGATAAGTGACCTTCAATATTTTTTTATTGCGAATTTAAGGATTTTTTCATAGAAAGGGTCGTCGGAAAGGGCAAAACAACGTCTGCCTGACCAGCTAGTTTATTTATAAATAATAATACTAATAATATTTATTGGGTAATAAGTACATTGTAAATTGATACAGTGTTATAGTTGAGACCTATTTTTAAGTATTTAAAATATAATAGCAGTTTCGTTCGACTATTTTATGCACTAAGATACATATTAGTATGCCTTCTCTTTTTTAAGTGATGATTCGTTTCATAACTACAACGCAAGCGGGTCTTTTTACAGGCAGTACGTAGTGAACCGAGCACTTACGAAACCTTAGATAAAATTGACTCATGCCACTTGCAAGAAGCGTGGATTTTGCACGTTTAACTGATTCGACGACTTTGTTAATAACACTAATAATTTTAATGTAAATACTTTAAACTAAAAGTAAGTGTAGATTTCGATTATATTTTAATCTCATTTTGTTATCTAGCTTCAAAGTCAAAAGGACACAATTTAAGTTTTCCTAGCGGAACAGAATGTACAATCTTAGAAAAGTTCCATTAAGGTCACTTAGTGGATACTTAGTGATAACTGATAACGCAATCAATGCCTATTAGAAACGATCTATTTATCCTTATAAATAGATTGTATGGCAATGTAGGTACAATATAATTGCAGCATATAAATATATAATAAGGGTTTAAGTGGAGAGAGGGCAGCGG